TTAAAAGATCACAATAGACTAAGCACTCTATCTCGCTCACACCCGCTTGAACAGTTGCTACCTCGCGCTCGCACCTACAGCGGGCTCTCAATGTGTCTGGCAAGATGTAAGAACCATTAAAACTGTCCGGCTCTTGGGGTAACATATTTTTATAAGTCCCTAAGTAACATATATAAAATTTAGCTTTTATAGTATAACGAAAGTGTAATTAAAATTTATTAAAGTTTAAGGGTGTCTGGCAGGGGGTAACAACTGGAAAAAGTGTCCGGCAACGGATATCATGATTTCTAAAGATATTCTGGAGTAAATATTAAAAAAAAAACCTTTATACTTTAACGAATTTAAGGTACTATTTTATATACCTTTACTGCCTGTTACCTGCCCAAGTAACCACAATCGGAACTCTATAATCGCGGGTAGTTCTTACCTGTGTTGGAGACATACACAGAGAAACTTTCAGCTTTTATAAAATAACGAAGGTCTGGCTGTCACGGGCTCTTGGGCTATAATCTTCAATCGGCAAATAAAACAATCAAGTTTCAACTTTTTAGACTAGACTTTTATATTTGATTTGAGAGATATATAGGTATGTATGTGTATGAGAGACATATATTAAAAAAATTAATTATATTATGTAAAAGTACCCACCTAATGATACACATCGTAAAAGGCTGTGACATTGACTGCCCATTAATAAAAAAAATTGTTTCCATTATGTACGATTTTCCATCCAATTTCGCCAATGCTTTACCAGAATATGTTAAGTGAATTCTTAAATTCTTATGTCTGGCATTAATGTGTGCATATGGAATCGTTAATTAAGGCATGTGTTACACAGTATTTCGTAACAGAAAATTTCTTTATCCAATTAAAATTTTTATAAGACCTACTAACTCTTTGCTTTTCTTGACGCTCTCTTCCAACGCATCATTAACTAAATCTTTGAATAGTTTAATTTCATACTGTCTCGCGTTATAGGCTTCTAAAGCGAATTCAACCAAGCCCGCCATCGTTTCCACGTATTGTTCTTTATATCTACAAATTATATGCGTCTTCAATTTCTAAAGGAGATAAATTGAAAATTGAAAAATAATTATTACGGCTAGATAAAAACAAGATCGACCCAGTGGACCGATTTTGAATGCGAAAATTCATAAAAGAATAAACGTAGTTTAATGTAATTTAATTGTTAAAAACTTCAAGATTCAGGACTATTATTTTGAGCACGTATATAGTAAATTATCGCCGCGAATTGCAGGTCTGTAAGTGAAACCATATGTTACATTTACAAGTGAAACTTGAAATTATAAATATTAAACATTAATTTTACTGTTCAAAAAATCCATTCAGTTCACCGCCCATCTTCAGAAGTAAAGATCCATCAGGGTCCTTTTCGAACATTGCCTCGAGAAGTTCCGGCCCGCTTAAGTATTCGACGAAGGATAACGCATAAAATTTCACCCTAGCTTCGTAGTCCTCTTTGGCTAATCTTTCATTTTCCGATTTCTCGTCAGCTTCATCTAATTTTCGAAGAACACCTCTGACAATATGATTTGAATTAGATTCTAGATTTACTATCAACGTGATTTTATAACGAGCGTTTCTATATAAGTAATATGAAAAAAATTATATTCAATTCACTTATTTTCTTTTTTTTTAATAAAAATATTACACTGAAAAGTTAAGATTCTGTTACGCTTCACAGGCGATTGCATGCAGCAGAGATACGAATTTTGCGATGGATGTGTGGAGTAACGAGAATGGATAGAATACGGAATGAATATGTTAGAGGAAGTCTGAAAGTGGAACCTGTGACAGAGAAGTTGACAAGTGCGCGTTTGGGATGGTATGGACATATGATGAGACGAAATGACAATGAGGTTGGTAAGAAAGTGTTAACTATGTATGTGGAAGGATATAGAGGAAGAGGTAGAACTAAGAAGAAATGGATGGATTGCGTGACAGATGATATGTGTAAGAGGGGAGTGAGCGACGAAGTGGTATATGATAGAGGAGTATGGAAGGAGAAAACATGTTGCGCCACCCCAGGTGACTGGCAGAAAGGCAGGAGAATTATGATGACTTGCAATCTTACACAGGTTACAAATCATACACAGGGGGTTCATATCCAAGCAATTCGGTAGTCGCTGGTTTCCGACCTAGACCGCATGCCTATTAGATAGCTCTCAGTAAGCCGTGAGCATATTTTTAAAGACAAATTACCTAAACAAAGCTCTACCGTCTTCTCTTTCTGCTTCCGTGACGATTTTGTAATCAAGATATGTAACTCTGGTTAAAGCTGATTTGATAAACTGATAAGCCATAGGGTCGTCGCAGCATGGGTTTCCTTTGAAGCTCACTGAACGAAGAAAACGGAATCTGCGGAGGTAGGCCATCTGTTGAAGGATGTTCAAAAAGCTATTTATGTATAAAGTAAAACTGTTAACAAAGATTGCTTGTGTGTACAGTGGAAATTTAAAAAAAAGTTATGAATGGATGTTAAAGATCCCTTGATGATACAACACTTAGTATTAGATTTAAAAGTCTCATTTAATAGACGTAAATTATGTGGTCCTTATCTTACGGAATACTAATTCTCGTTATTAATATAACGCTTTAAGTTGATCTTCCATTTATTTTATTGTTTATGTATATCATTTAGCTTTTTTCCCCTACCAAATAGTTGGTAGCTAATCGTCACGGGCTCAGTCTGAAAGAACACTAACCTAACACTATCCTTAGCAAGAGCAGTGTATTGCTGAATCTACCACCGCATAGGGAATTGTGACCCATTGAGAAGATCCGGCAAGAAACTTAGTGGATTGTGTCGATGACGTAAAATTCTTCGTCTTATTCGACGAGTTCGACGAGAGCGATGACCGGTACTTGGAGAGTCTAAAAGCCCTAAGAGTAGATCTGGAGGATCCGACAAGACATGCTTTCGGCGACAGCGACTTATCGATGCCCCGTCGTTTGGGGCGGGTATAAGACATTTGACATGACACTGGGTAGTGGTTAGGTATAGAAGCGGCCACGATAAGAGGTTTTATGTGACGCGCTATTTTTTGGAGTTAGCATTTTTTTTTATTGCTTATATGTGTGGACGAGCTCACAGCCCACCTGGTGTTAAGTGGTTACTGGAGCCCATAGACATCTACAACGTAAATGCGCCACACACCTTGAGATATAGTTCTAAGGTCTCAGTATAGTCACGGCTGCCCCACCCTTCAAACCGAAACGCATTACTGCTTCACGGCAGAAATAGGCGGGGCGGTGGTACCTACCCGTGCGGACTCACAAGAGGTCCTACCACCAGTTATTACGCAAATTATAATTTTGCACGATGTTATTCCTTCACCGTGGAAATCAATCGTGAACATTTGCTGAGTACGTATTTCATTAGAAAAATTGGTACCCGCCAGCGGGATTCGAACACCCGTGCATCGCTCGATACGAATGCACCGGACGTCTTATCCTTTAGGCCACGACGACTTAACATTAATAAAGTTTACATAAATGATTAGGATTTTTCTTTCCTACGCCATTTCTCGTCGACTTCTCGTCAGGTTTGAGCCCTGTGAGCTCACCTACTAGTTAAGGCTACGCTGATATAGCCTCTCAAGGCTCTCAGCTTAGTTAGCTGTTGATCTGTGACACTACCTGTCAATACATATCAGTGTTTTTTGAAACGATATATTGTTTCGTAGCATGATTATTTTTACTTACTTCTTTATAATCCTCTATTATATTATCACCAATACTAAATACAAGCAATTTTTCAAGCAATTCCATGTTTTCCAGTTTCCTGATTCTGTTATGAAACAACGTAAGGATTTCCAAATTTACGAGTTTATCCAAGTTTTCAATCTTTTCAATTTTGTTAAACGATAAATCTAGTTCATTCAGGCCAGTAAGTTGATCCAGATTTTCTATTTTTTCTATTAAATTATGAGCTAAAGTTAATTTCCTTAAAGATTTCAACATCCATAGATGATCGATTCTTAAAATATTTTGAAATTCAAGTCGAACTACTTGAGCTTCATCCAAATGTACTCCTTCTTCGGCAAAAAGTCTTCCTGCTTCTTCAGTAGGCCCTGGAAGGCAACAGATACAAAAGGTTTTTTATATAAGTCCCATTTTTAACCTATCATCTCTACTAAACCCACCGTACTCAAGTATACATCGTATGATCATCGCATTATCAATGACACCAGGCTCGATGTCTGGATATATTACAAGGCTATTCAATGATCTCTTCTCGGTCATCGTTAAACGTTTGCTTGTTGCAAATCAATTTGCAGTGACTTATTTAACAGTTTATTTATGTTATATACCTAGTTGCTAAGTTACATGATTTCAAATAATATGGCGGTTAAATGTTGATGGTTCAAAATGAAATTATATTAAATGATGTTGTAATGATTATTCATTAATATTTAAAAAGTGGTTAACGTCAAGGTAGACATTATTATTATCATTTTTGATTCATTTCATGGTTCACATTCTGTATTTTCGTTTTACTCCTTATTTCTGAACATACAAAGTTTGACATTTAACTTAGTTAAAGTTGCCAGTTTCTTAAATGAAGTGTTTCGAAGAAATCTATTTCGATATTTTCAAAAGATAGCCTAATATGGTAATCTACAGAGAAACTTTTTCACAGTTCACACAGGTTCATATCCTAAAATTGCGGAAACGTTGGAAAATTATCAACATTTATCCACATTTTTAGGGTACTTAGTCAAATTTCGGAAAAGTTCCAGTCTTTTGACATTGGTCTTTGATAGTGTGGGGAAATTGGAGACAGAAACTGGGCAACTCTAGTTTTTAGTGACAAGTGAAATTGGTGAATCGCATCAATAGATAAATATTTTATTATTTTACAAAAATGTCGTTTTTTGGTGTAGGGAATCCCTTTTCTACGCCGGTGGGTCAAAAAATTGGTAAGTTTCATAAACTTATTACGAAAATTGATGCTAAAGTTGTAAGTTTATTGTTCCATGAAAGAAGTAGATTTTCTTTTTGTTGCGCACTATAAGATTCCAATTACTTAATGTAGTGCAATTGCGGTATTCGCATACAAATGTTACATACCGCAATATATACCAACATTTTTAAAGTATTAAAAAAAAAATCAAATATTATGTATCTGTTAATTATTTTGACCTCACGATCACTTGTGTGTTTACATTAATTTTGATTATAGAACAAGCCACAGATGGCGCATTACCATCCGAAAATTGGGCTCTGAACATGGAAATATGCGATATAATAAACAGCAGTACGGACGGACCTAAAGATGCCATTAAAGCAATAAGAAAAAGATTGACTACAAGCGCTGGGAAGAACTACACAGTGGTGATGTACACACTGACTGTCCTGGAAACATGCGTTAAAAACTGTGGGAAGCCGTTCCATGTTCTCGTCTGCAATAAGGAATTTATATCAGAGTTGGTAAGTTATACTATAGGTACCACTATGTTTAATACAAAGCTCAGGAAGTACAATAGGCACATTCGTTTTATGTGAATGTGTGCAATTCAGTTATATACCCTTCCAATTTCGGTCTTCCTTAATTTCACACACAAATCTATGTATTGAAAAATATGAATTGCATAATCAAGACTGGTAGGGTTATTTGTCAGCTGGCATGATTCATTGCTTCTATCCAGTTTACTTTTACAAGATGAAATATTCATTTAATGAATTGCACTGCGGTGCATTATGAATTTAACTTAATTTCTCAAGTTCCTACTTGAGAAATTAGATTCCTCTTGTGCTTATCCAGATTTACACAATTTTCATCCATTACAAATTAAAATTTACATAATGTTACACTATAAAATGTGCAATGTAATGTAAATAGTATAATTTTATTATTATACAGTGCATAATAGAATATTATTACAGCATTTCATCTTACATAGTCATAAAATATTTACATCTAAATATAAAAATGAGTACCCTTTAAAGAATTGGACCATGCTATAATTGCTAATTTTCAAGCTGTGTACGAAGGTTCTCTGTTGTCCTGATATTAATAGTGCAAAACAATTATAAAATCTGGTTTGAAAGGTGGAACAGCTGATTGGCATTGAGATCTATAGTTCATATCTCAAAAAAGGTTCTGTTATGTTGGGCTAACCACATATTCTCATAATCACTGAACTACAGGCAGTTTGGGTAGTCCTTCTTTCTATACTGTTAGAAGTCAGTAATATTACTATAATTTGTAATATTGTGTATTTTTGTATATTTTTACCAGTCACTAACAGTGTTGTACTAATTATATTTTATTAATGTTCAATATTTATTGACTAAATCATACAATTATTTACGTTTTGACTTTTCTGCCCAATAAACTTTATTTGTTATTTTATATGTCATCACAATAATTGGTGTTATAAATCAATGTCTATCATAACAATGCTGTTGTTCTGTCAAGCCCTTGGAAGACAATGGTCTTATCAGTTTGATATAGTTTATTGACATTTAGTATATCAGACAAGTGATTACCATTCAATGATATTGATTTTCGAGATCATAGTTTTCAATGTTAGAAGCATAAGGTCGAATATCCAGTTTCTAATCTATCCTAGTAATGCAATATTATTTTGTTAATGTGAAAGTTTGTATGTTTGGGTGTGCGTTACTTAATTACAACAAAATGTCCGAAGGGATGTGGATGATATTTCGCATAAACATAGTTTCTAACTTGAATTAACACATATTTTATAATAGTTTTACATCATAGTAAATGCCCAGGCAACATTGGAAATATCTGTCATGGTATATTTAACATTTGTAGATAAATTTACTGATTGTAATAGATCAAAGAGTGATACAAGCAACACTTTATCCCAAAAGAAACATCATCTTTTATTTTATTAATTACTTTACAAATTTAAAGCTGTTGATCCGGCGAGGCATATCGAGTCTTATAGATGTAGGATTTTTCAAAGTTTGGTTTTCCATAGACAATTAACCCAAAAAATTAAAGTATAGAGCTAGCACCAGGAAAAAGAAATAAAGAACATTCATTTATACAAGAGCAACGAGTAGATGCAAAAAGTAGATCAGACCTTATGCCCCTGATAGTTAGATTTAGATTGTACAATCACACTTACTATATGAATTTAAATGCTATGAATTTATACTATGTACATTAAATATTCAATAAAAGTATACAGTGATCCTAGGGGCAGTTCGTTTATATTTTCATGGGTTTGCCTTGTTTAAAGATTAGTAGAATTCATACACAGATTATGAAGACAAAATATTAGGGAAATTTAGTGGCGACTGGATGAAGTTGGGACGCCCTCCTGTAAACTTTAGATTGTTGACTGGTCCTTCGTAGATTTGTTACAGTGTTGTTGGTGTTTGTGTCGAAGTGCATCCAGGACGAAACTAGAGGCTCCCGAAATGAAATTTCTGGCAGTGTACAGAGCGACTACTAGTACGTACTAGTAAATAGCGACACAAGTCGTTAATACTAATACAGGAATTAGTGCGCTTTTTTCCTACCTATTCGCTGGTAGCTTAGGGGGCTATTCTAGCTACGCCCGGCCGGGATTAGTGAACGTTTGCAACGCGCCACTTTTTTTGTTTTTTCCCAACCTAAGCTGATGGTCTTCAGAGACCATATCAGCGTAACCGGGCGAGTAGGTGAGCTCACGGGGCTCAAACCTGACGTTGTTGCTAACACGAACCCTAGCTATAGCCGTGCTTCGCAGAATCTACCACCGGATCGGAAACGCTACCCGCTGAGAAGATCCGGCGAGAAACTCAGTGAGTTGTGTCTGTGGGTTAATTTACTCGCCGAGCCCTTCGTCGCAAGCGATGGGTTCGACGAGAACGATGATCGGGACGCGCCACCAATAGTTATGTTACTACACCAGTTCCTAGATCAAAAATTTACAATTTATAATTGACTAGTGGTACTCCAGTAGTCGAAATTCGACTATAATTAATTGAATTTATAAGTTTGAAAATTATTCTGGTTCTATTGTCAAAGCCCATTATACTTCTATAATCACAGATTTCGCCAAGACTACATTAAAGACAAATTTTATTAATTTATTCTCAATTTGACCACAGACTTTAAACAATAACAAAAGTTTGATAAAAAACAAATAGTTGTATATGTATATTATATGTGTTGTGTCAAATACATGGTAGTGTGTGTAATACTTTTTTTATTGATTTAATGTATTTTTTTATGCATGATTAAAGAAAATATTAACTTTCTGCACTCTATAATCTCTTATAAGTGTGGGAAATTTCATACTGCTCCATCTGCGCAATTTTCGTAAAAAGGGTTACAAAGATTTGGTTCACGTATTAATAATATATAAAATGTCCATTTATAACAGTGACAGTCATACTTTGTCGTCTACGCATATAGAAGTTGTTGAACCAAATATAAGGTTGGTCCTCCGCCACAAAAGGCTTAACCGATTATCCTAAATGAACCAAAAAAGTTCCCTCAGCATTATCATTACGTTGTTATTATTTATCGAGATAAAACAGCGTTGTATTATAATAATGTCACGTCGTTCATATAGAAATACGTGTGTGACAAAACCCGAAGTCATTAACATATTTGGATATCATGAATATGCAATTAACACAATATTTCCGAGAGGCGTTGTTGTCAACAAAATACCGAATACGAAACAAGACAAGTCAAATGTAACATGCACAATGTTCGAAAAATGATCCCGTTATTATTATTGATAATATAAAATGAATGCATAAATTAAATATTTGTTCAGACTTGATTAACGCGGTAATGTAGTGGTGAGCGATCCTGATTGTTGCGCTGAAGGTCGTGGGGTTTCATTCTCACATCGGGAGAACATTAGTGTGATGGAACAGGTTTGTTTGCTCTTTGTCTGGTTGTTTATTATCTATAATATATATGTATATATTTAAACGCATATAAGAATCTATGACAGTCTCTGATATCCATAACACACGGAATTCTAATTTGGGATCGGATGATCGTGCGTGATTTATTTTAAAAAAAAGGCTGGGAGTAGAGACTTAAATCTAACCAACGCATCATATAAGAGTGAATAGATAGATTACTTACAGAAAATATTAGTAACAGTTGATTGAGTGATAAAATATTGACATCATCATGACAAATCGGAAGACGTCCACAGCTGGGTATTGAAAACTTTCTCATTTTTTTATTGCTTTGTATGCAGATGAGCATACGGCTCAACTCATGGTGTGTGGGTTCAGCAAAGTCGCTATCTACCAAAGTTATCCTCATAACGAATTATTTTTTGGAGTCATCGTGGCCTAAAGGATAAGACTTCCGGTGCATTCGTGTCGAGCGATGCAACGGTGTTCGAATTCCGCAGGCGGGTACCAATTTTTCTAATGAAATACGTACTTAACAAATGTTCACGATTGACTTCCACGGTGAAGGAATAACATCGTGCAATAAAAATCAAACCCGCAAAATTATAATTTGCGTAATTACTGGTGGTAGGACCTCTTGTGAGTCCGCGCGGGTAGGTACCACCACCCTGCCTATTTCTGCCGTGAAGCAGTAATGCGTTTCGGTTTAAAGGGCGGGGCAACCGTCGTTACTATACTTGAGACCTTAGAACTTATATCTCAAGGTGCGTGGCGCATTTACGTTGTAGATGTCTATGGGCTCCGGTAACCACTTCACACCAGGTGGGCTGTGAGCTCGACCACCCATCTAAGCAATAATATAAAAAAAAAAAAACGTTTTTATCCATTTTTTGCATTTAAACAAATAAACTTGATTTGTTATTGTATATTATGTTAATTACGTCGGAACATAGCTATTCGATTTGTATTTGTGTCTCCGATGTAGAACAACTAGTTTTCAAATGTTACGACCGTTCTCAGAAACAAATATTTTATTCGTAATCACTTCTGTATGTTCTGATTGGGCATGGATCAGATTCGAACGATGTAATATTGAAAGTATTCATTCCAGATGCAGTTATAATGCGAAAATTGTTTTAGGTGAATTTACGTTTAGGTGGTAATATGAAATCAGGGTTTTAGTGTACAGAATAATAAAATTGGAACCGGCATTCGCAGCGACACGTGAATGCTACTGTTATCATTTCTATAACGCAGTATTATATCTTAAACTAATAGTTTTATCTAAGTATTTATTTTTATGCTAAATAAGCTGTCAAGTCCGGAGCGGCTCAATGTCCGCTGCTCACCTTGAGTCGTGAGTTCAATGGCCTAATTGTATTGAAGGCCATCCCACCCATCCAGCTGGAAAGGTGCTTCGTGGTACAAACAGACAGACTATCACAATATAGCCGAGCGGGCTTACAAAGAGCCCTACCGCCAGTCATTACGCTAATTATATTTTTTACGGGCTTGATTTTTATTACACGATGATACTCTTTCACCTTCGAAGTCTGGTGGTAGGACCTCTTGTGAGTCGGCACAGGCAGGTACCACCACCCCGCCTATTTCTGCCGTGAAGCAGTAATGCGTTTCAGTTTGAAGGGTAGGGCAGCTGTTGTAAGTGGGTGGCGCATTTACGTTGTAGATGTCTATGGCCTCCGGTAACCACTTAACACCAGATAGACTGTGAGCTCGTTCACCCATGTAAGCAATAAAAAAAAGTAATTTGTGAATATGTTTTAAGCACATAATTCTTTCGAAAAAATTGTACTTGCCTACGGGACTTGTAGGTATTTACATCGGCATAGTCATTATCACTAGATAAGAGTACCGACACGGAGCGTCTTATCCTTTAGGTCACGACGACTCACTGTCTTTGAAGCTCATTGCAAACTAATAATCTTTACAAATCAAATTGTATTCTATATTTAACTATTTCTATATTTTTCTGTATTCTATTTTGTTAACAGGTAAAATTGATTGGCCCCAAAAATGATCCGCCGACGGTGGTGCAAGACAAAGTATTGAGCCTCATCCAATGTTGGGCCGATGCCTTCCAGAACCAAGCTGAATTACAGGTAAAGTGATGCACTAATTTTCAAATAAACGTACAATTTTATACCTTACGGTATAACATTTGTGGTTGTTTTTAAAATATCATAGTTACATATTTAGAACACCCCCTCGTAAAACTTGAACTGCATATAATAAGAAAGAAGTGAAACTGTTTCTAAAACTTACTAATCGATTATTCACATTGAAAATGTCAGTGATTTTTGAAATTATTATACACTCAATGCTGACGGCGGCTTCGCTTTCCAGAAGCATTTATCACCAAATAATATCTATGGAGAGTAATTATTCTATAAGTTCATATATTATGTGTGTATTTGTTTTAAAGGAATATTGAAGTTTTATCTGTGCACCAACCCTTATTACACGTGCTCTTATATTATAACATTGTGTATCAAGTTCCAACGAATTTAAACAATGAATTAAGTAAATCCTCATCAAAGTTTTTATAATGAGAGAAATTAACAAAAACGGTGATATTTAAAAACACGCTATCAACATTTCACCTTTAGAGGTGCAGCCAAACGGCGGCCTTGGCTTTGATGAACTAGTGACTCGAATATAATTCGATAGTATAAAATTAACAGTACTCTTTACATATAGTATTTTTGCATATCGGCTATGAATGCCGTTTGCTATCGACGAAATTAATTTTTTCAATAGTGCTTGTTGTTATCAATAAACATCCACGGCACCCTCGCTCTGTGCTCGCAAAAAATATGTTTAAAAACAATGAACAGAATGATATTTTTTACAAAAACTAATTTAGAACAATACAGAAGATGTCCGATCCCTAGAACAATACGTGACCTTTGAATAATGTCGCAAAAAGACTAAACGTACAATTATTAGCAAGTCTCCGGTACACTTGGTCTGCTTAATAATATTATACGCATCTCGCATTTGGAAACATGACCTTTTGCCGTAATGAGGTCGGTGATATTTACACTACAGCTGGCGCCTAATAGCTCGGCGGACTAATATTCAAACCTAAACGAGTAAATAACCTCTTATAAATGAATGTCATTAAATTTCGAGAACTTTCTTATTTCGGTATTTCAAGTTATGATCATCAGTGAAAAAAGATCGATTAGTATTGTTACGCGCTAGGGTTCGGGATAAATAAATGTTCCATCAAAGTACAACTTAAAAGTGTATTTGCACTTAGAACACATAAAACACTTAAAATACTTCACAAACAGCTTAAAATTCTCAATTCGCTTCTTCCGCTTCGTTTTAGAATCGTCGAGAATATTCCACAAAAGTCGAGTATTGTGTGTTTCCGCTATCTGACAATAGATGGCGTTGTACTTCTCGAGCGTTCGAGATACTACTAGATCCTTCGATATTCGTTCGACTATTCGGCCATAGATGGCGTTACTCTTACCGGCGTAACAGTATTGAGAACATCCTTTTTTATTTGAAGTCGCTCAAATGTAGAATAGTGGTAGAAGCAGTAGTTATATACTTTAAAACGTTGTGGTGCATAATCATTCAATTATTTAGCGCAATTGTGATCTGTCATGCGGTAGAAATATCAATCTTAAAATAAAAATTGAGTGATTTTTTGTCTTCAAGCAAGCAAGGTGCCTATAATGTGATTTTAAACAATCATCGAGAAACCTGAGACAAAAAACCGAAGTCTCAGGATGATGTTACATTCTAGTATATTCGGTATAACTATTCTATACCTATATAGTGAACTAGCTAAGACACAATTTGCTGTGGCAGTGCTTTGCAGAATCTACCACCGGATCGGAATCGCGACCCACTGAGAAGATCCGGCGAGAAACTCAGTGGACTGTGTCTATAGGATAAAGCTATATTGATATATATATATTTTATTGTTTAGATGGGTGGACGAGCTTACAGCCCACCTGGTGTTAAGTGGTTACTGGAGCCCATAGACATCTACAACGTAAATGCGCCACCCACCTTGAGATATCAGTTCTAAGGTCTCAAGTTACAACGGCTGCCCCACCCTTCAAACCGAAACGCATTACTGCTTCACGGCAGAAATAGGCAGGGTTGTGGTACCTACCCGCGCGGACTCTCAAGAGGTCCTACCACCAGTAATTACGCAAATTATAATTTTGCGGGTTTGATTTTTATTACACGATGTTATTCCTTCACCGTGGAAGTCAATCGTGAACATTTGTTAAGTACGTATTTCATTAGAAAAATTGGTACCCGCCTGCGGGATTTGAACACCTGTGCATCGCTAGATACGAATGCACTGGACGTCTTATCCTTAAGGCCACGACTTATCCGGGGTAGAAATGGGTAGGATAACCTTATCCTAATTTTAATTTCAAAAGCGGACGCTTTTGTATAAATCGTATAGATAAATAATAGGTTAATATTGTTAACGATTCTATCGAATGTCTTTTTGATACCAGGGAGTCGGTCAAGTGTACAACGAGCTTCGCACCAAAGGTGTTGAATTTCCGATGACCGACTTAGACGCCATGGCCCCGATTTTCACGCCACAGCGGGTAAGTAACAAAAACTATTTATTTACGTTCCACGTCTGGTGTAGTTTTCATTATAATGTTTCAACAAAGTATCTATATCTATACTCTATACTAATATATAAATCTACAGCGGTTTTTACGGTTTTTCCCTTATAACTACTGAACCATGCATCCGATTGACTTGAAACTTGGTATCCATGTAGAAAATACACATACTTAATGGATAGGCTAATATTTATATAAGTGTTGGACTCCCTACACCAGTTGCGGGGGCGTTAATGATGAGAATCATTAACGACCTACCACCATTTTTACTGGTGGTAGGACCTCTTGTGAGTCCGCGCGGGTGGGTACCACCACCCTGCTTATTTCTGCCGTGAAGCAGTAATGCGTTTCGGTTTGAAGGGTGGGGCAGCCGTTGTAACTATACTTGAGACCTTAGAACTTATATCTCAAGGTGGGTGGCGCATTTACGTTGTGGATGTCTATGGGCTCCAGTAACCACTTAACACCAGGTGGGCTGTGAGCTCGTTCCCCCATTTAAGCAATAAAAAAAAAAGGAATCTTTGTGGGGGTGAAAAATGATTATGTAAATTTTAAATGCCCAGCGAAGCGAACGGCTACAGCTAGTATTATTATATAAAGACAATGCATCTAAGTAGCAGTTGACCTGCTTTTGCATTATCAATAAAATAATTATATTAGTAATGTTATTTAATCATAGCGTAAACCATTTAACCATAGTGCATATTAACTGATGTTATGATACGAAAACTTGATTCTCAATCATTTTTATATGAAATCGAAATATGCATTAAGTCAATTATACAGGGTGTAAAGAAACCAAACAAAAATTAATTGTTATTCCCAAATGAATTTAAAAAAAACTAATCAAATCATAAATAGGTACCAAAAGTTTTCGTATCGTAACATTTCATTAGGTGCTTTTTTTGAACCATAGGCTTAAATATTTTGTTTGTGTTAATTTGCGTGTTATGCTTTTGCTTTATTTCACGGTACACACCCTGTGTATACTAAAAGAAATTAAAATAATTCGCACCTATAAAATTGAAGTGGCTTGAATAAAATTTTTAAGAAAATGAGCTCTATACTTCGAGCGACCTATGAACATGTATTTATGAGCTTATTAAAATTAAACAATCCCTTTTAAATCAAACTCTTGCCTTATGGTATCATAACCGAATCACTAAATAATTACTATTCTTCAATTACATATTTTACGTTTACCAAAAAAATCTTAATTTTGGATTTAGCCACATCAGTTCTAAAGATGCGATATATCTCATAAATTAAACTCATATTTTTTTTCAAATTAATATTATTATGATTTTTATATAATATCTTTAATAATATAATTATATTTAATTTTTTTTTCAATTAATTTTCTCACAAATTCATTTCATTAATACTAAACTTCATCGTTTTACAGAGTGTACCGGATGGCGTCGAACAAGTTGGTTCCCCTCAGCGCTCCGTCTTGCCGCAGAACTCTCCTAGCAGGACCACTCCGGAGCAGATCACTGTAAGATCTTATCTTAAATTTAAGTGTATTTTTTTCTTGGGTAAAGCACGTCAAAGCTGTATCCGTATACTAACGATAGAGAGCAGTAGAGCCTTTAAAAGTGTAACTAAGTTTCAGGGGGACATTCTACTAGTGGTAGGGCATATTATAAGTCCAAAGGGGTACGTACAGTCGTCCAGGCTAAAGTCGGGATTCAGTTTTTGTTGTTTTTTTTTTTTTTATTGCATGGGTATGAGTGACTACAATAGATCTACGCATTAGAAATCCAAAAAGTGTGGGGTATCTACAGTCGTGACTGTTCAATGGAGAGACAGTTGGCATGTTACAAACCGCGACCGTACCACCGAGTGGTGAAAGCTATTTGGTGTAAGCGATATTTGCGTAAGCTGACACGAGAGCTATTTAAAGTTTAAAATTTGGAAAAGGTATCAAACAAATGAAAAACTTCTTCAGCTGTTTAAATTGAGTAAACTTAATTGAAGTTCGATTAAAAACATCGAATTGTTGATGCTAACCCCAATTTTTTTATTTCTTTTTATTGCCCTTTTAAGCAGACGAGCATATGGCCCACCTTATGGTGAGTGGTTGCCGTCGCCCATGGCCTTCAGCCATGCCAGGGGCAAAGCCAAGCCGCTGCCTACCGAAATAAACCAAATAAAACTGACCTTTAATTACAATGATAAATGTCACGTATTAAGCAAAATAGCGCTTAAACTAAACTAGCTATTCACCCCTCGTTACATTGATCGACGAGTATATTAATCCATAGACACAGCCCACTGAGTTTCTCGCCAGATCTTCTCAGTGGGTCGCGTTTCCGATCCGGTGGTAGATTCTGCGAAGCACTGCTCTTGTTAGGGCCAGTGTTAGCAACACTCCCGGTTTGAGCCCCGTGAGCTCACCTACACGTCAAGGAAAAGCTGATATCGTCTTCTCGCATTAAAACTGTATAATCTCAAAACTTACTAATTTTACAGGAGTGTGTTTTAAAGGTTTACCATGTAATATTTTTAATATTAATCATATTTGCAACTTTTTTTTTTTTACCAGTTACATTATCTATCTGTCTTTTAAAGTAAGATTTTTTTTTTTTAATAGTAGTAAAAAGATAGGTGAACTAAAAAAAACAACCTAAACTACGCTCTTTTGACAGTATTTATGGAAAAAAAATACTCGTGATACCAAATGTTTACGCATATTAACTCAATTTCGAATATTTTTGGAAATTGTACCTACACTTTTAATGCGAAAAGGCGATATAGCCTCTCAAGGCTATCAGCGTAGGTAGGAGAAAAAAAAAAGTTACGTTGGACAGACTCAGGTGACGCTGAGCGACAGTCAGACCAACAAGCTGCGCGCCGACCTCGCCGTGGTGGAGGGGAACATGGCCGTCATGAACGACATGCTCAACGAGCTCACCGCCCGGCCGCAAGCAACGCGACACGACAGCGACGTCGAACTTCTGAACGTGAGCACTTACTGACACTTTTAGTTATCACTTTTTTACTGGTGGTAGGACCTCTTGTGAGTCTGTGCGGGTAGTAGGTACCACCACCCTGCCTATTTCAGCCGTGAAGCAGTAATGCGTTTCGGTTTGAACGGTGGGGCAGCCGTTGTAACTATACTAGAGACCTTAAAACTTATATCTCAAGGTGGGTGGCGCATTTACGTTATAGATGTCTATGGGCTCCAGTAAGCACTGAACACCAGGTGGACTGTGAGCTCGTCCACCCATCTAAGCAAAAAAAAATTAAAAAAAATTGGTTATTTAAAAAAAAAATTGTGGGGCTTATGGTGCCCAACCTTGCCCGTTTCATCCCTGATGTCATAGTTTATTTATTTATTTTGGCGTATATTATATTTGAAGCGTAAATAACTTTTCTGGTGTGATTGAGCGAACCCATGTCCCATTGTGCTCTGCTAATATGTCACAGGAGCTGGCGGACACGCTGCGTGCCATGCAGAGCCGCGTCGCCGAGCTCATAGCGCGCGTGGCGGCCGACGGCGCGCTCACCGCCGAGCTGCTGCACGCCAACGACCGCCTGCACAACCTGCTGCTGCGCCACGCGCGCTTCCTCAACAATAGGTACCGCGCGCATGCAGGCACCTATGCGTACACGCACGCACTAAAATACGAACCCACACGTACACGCACGCACGCACTAAAATACGAACCCACGCGCACTCACAAAAACACGAATGCACGCACACGTACATGAATGCACGCACATGTACACGCACGCAAACACGCGCCCACACACACACACACACACACACACACACACACACAGGCACACACGTACAGGCACACACGGACGCATATACTCACTTAAAAGCATGTGCACACGCACAAAACCTTGTAGCCACTTTTCATTAAGTAATTTGACTGACTGTTTAATTCTACCTTCAATCTCTTGCAATAATCATACACAATGGCGTAGCTACCTAGGGGCTAGGCGGGGCAGTGCCCCGAGGCCCTCTTATCCTCAGCAGAAATCTCGATCGAACTGAACTTTTGGAAATTTCTCCTATTTTCAAAATAAATACGACGGGTTGCAACCCCACTTTAATCATGACAACTCAGTTGAGAGAAATTCAAAAGTTCTGCCTAGGGAATTCCCCTAAAATCTTTCTGTAGGTTGGCAGTGTTGTCAATTTGACGGATAGTGATATGTGCGTTTTATTATTCATCGATGTGCGTTTTATTGTGAATTCGAGTTAAGATTTTTTTTTCGAGAACGGTTAAAAATTTAATGTTGTATCAGGAGTAAGTAAGCTCGAAGGGATTATGCCCGTACGTCCCGGCCCCTGTAGATGGTGGCTTCCCCCCGGTGAAGGTCAATGGGTGACCTGAGGGGGTAGAGGCCGCACAGAGCGCTACCAGCACTCTAGCGCGTCGCCAAGGAGTATCCACGTGATAAAAGAGCAACCGGTTGGCGGTGTATCGCGTCCCAACCCGGCAGGCTGGTTCTGATCCAGCGGGGTATTCCGGGACACCAGCGGCACCGTCTGGGCGGCTTCCGGGCTGCCGTACCGAGACGGCCGACGTTTCAGCCTTCGATTAGCCTCGAAGGCTCCGTCGGCCGGGCGTCCTTGGAGTGAGCTGCGCCGTCTGGTTGTAGTGTTGACCGCGGTAACCCCCCTACCTCATTCGGGTTCTGACCTCGGAGGGGATCGGACGCTTAGGCGAAGAGTGCAGGGGAGTCGTTTAGTGGGTAGGGCCCTGAAAACATCCCTAGGCCCGCAGTCTCGCAGTCGCGGACCAGTCCCACATACCTACCCCGCGCGCTCCCTAGGCGCGGGGACATCGTAGGAGGTTCGACCTGCCCTGCAGTGCACAAAAAAGAGCTTAAGTAGTTTAGCATTTTTAAAGTAATTGTATATTTCATATTTTTAATTGATAAAACCTAATCAGTTTACATAGCAGTGGGGCCCAATTTTTTAATTTGCCCCAGGGCCCTTGGTTACCTAGCTACGCCACTGACCATACATCAGATGTACATTATTCAATATAGTTGAGATTTCGACCTCAAGTTTAAAGCTGGGTGACGGTGTTCACGTTGTGATGTCTATGAACTCCAGTAAGCACATAACAGCGGCCGGCCCGTGATGGACTCACTTCACACTTTTATCATAAAATAAAATAATATAATAAAAAAGTAAATCATAAGCTTCATATTAGTTAATTGTGAACTAGGTACACATTATATTTATAAATATCTTTCATTAGTTTCTTTTTGAGTGTTTTAAGTAATTCCGTACTTTTATGATGACCCAGGTCTGCAGCGGCGGCGGGCGCGGGGCCCACTCCGTCCGCCATCCTCGGCGCCGCCATGGGCGTGCCCGGCGCGGCGCCTACGTCACGTGAGGACATAACTTATTTCTCTTATTATCTCTCAACGTCGACCGTTCATATTGTTCGAATTATTTATTATACCTTCATATTTCGTATTTTATTACTAGTGTATATATGCACTGAACTGTTTCCCTCCGAAAAAACTTTCGATATTTGACATCTAAATAAACGAAGATTGGATTCACTGTCTTAAATGTAAATGTAAAATCTTAATTTTAAATCAACACTGGGAAATTTCAGAACGAAATATGATCTTGTTTATTTTTTAATTCGACAGCAAAGAAACAAGAGGATGACGCCTTGATCGACCTAAGCGACGACGTCCCTGATATTGCGAAGCTGAGTGAGTTAAATTCGATGTATTCTAACAACGCACTGACGTCACAACGTGTGGACTCCGCGTCGTGACGTCACTGGGACAGACTGCACGTCACGTGATAATTAAGTTAGCTGTTAGATACGTAAGCTGGCCATTAAGTTTTACAAAATAAAGTCAAATAGTTCTGGAAAAAATGTAGGCGAGGATTACACAAATACTGATCAACTATTCTATTCAATAGAAACAAACAAATATTTCCTCTTTATAATATTAGTATACTTGAACGTATATAAGTATGTATGTCAGTCTCTGGTACTCATCAGGTTTGAGCTCCGTGAGCTCACCTACTAGTTAAGGCTACTCTGATATAGCCTCTCAAGGCTCTCAGCTCAGATAGGAAAAAAAAAACTGGTACCCATAATGCAGGAAATCCTAGTTTGGAACCAGATGGTCGTGTCACACAAGTCTGTCCCCGGTTATTATTACACTCACAGCGTACTAATCCTGAATCCGTATTGAATTTCGAAGGATATTTCATTGAATTTTTGTTTTTTTGTTTAGGCGTAACGGATACTCAAGCAGAAAAGTCTCCGAGCAGCTCGAAGGATGAATTCGACATGTTCGCTCAATCGAGGAACATCACTTATGAAACCTCGAAGACAGGGTAATTAATTATTTTTTAAGATAACGGTCCTATGTACATATATTAATTATCTAATAATTAAAGGAAATAGATAAAGGGTTTTGGAAGTAAGACTTGGAGACAGTCCCACAGAAAACAGTGGGCTAAATTAGGCTGCTAATTATGATGTTGATGATGATGTGATGTCATCGGTAATATTGCAAAACTTCGTGGCAGCTTATTTACTTATATGATTTTTTTTTTTATAAATGTATATTCTAGTGGATCAACATTCATGTTCAACCAAAAATTTCTTTAATGTATTTTATTTATTGCTTAGATTAATGGACGAGCTCACAGCACACCTGGTGTTAAGTGGTTACTGGAACCCATAGACATCTACCATGTAAATGCGCCATCCACCTTGAGATATGAGTTCTAAGGTCTCAGTAAAGTTACAACGGCCGCCCCACCCTTAAAACCGAAAAGCATTACTGCTTCACGGCAGAAATAGGCGGAGTGGTGGTACCTACCCGCGCGGACTCACAAGAGGTCCTACCACCAATATTCTGTTTGTGTTCTTTCTAGTACCAGCAGCTACGCCGATAACTTAGAAGACCAAACCACGACGAGCTTGGCCTCCGCCGCCAGCCACCGAGCCACACAGGGCCAACCTCTGGTAAACCTTCTAGTATATTCTTCTTCGGTTAGAAGAGTCCACAAATAATAGTTAAAGAAATATCCAAAATGGCGTCAAAGGTGTTTCCAGTCTATGTAGCGCCTGTGTGCAAGTCTTACCTTAGCGCCCTCTAGTAAGCATGCTATCAATATGGAATAGGTACAAATCGAGGGGAGAAAACGAAACTGTCGTAACTTGCATTTTGAGCTAAATCACTTTTTACCTTATTATATTATATTAAACAAACACTCTGGTGTCGAGTTGATTTTTTCAAGTTACGACAATTCCACTTTTATCCTTCGAAATGTAACAGGTCTATTGGAAGTGTCAAGCCCCGCACTCACACAATGGACCATAGGTGAAGTCTGCCTCTGAATAGCGTTAATAAGAAGGAAGGGAAGAAGCAAAATGAATAAGTTGGAAAATCGAATTCCAATCTATATTTATAATAATTATATAAAAATGAATCTGCGTAATGAAAAGCAGTCGGGCCGCAAAACTTTTAAAATTCAAATCGCAATTAATAGGTATTTCATTATTTATACTTAAGTTTGGCGATGAGCGTATCGTATACATAGTGTGATTTTTTTTTTAATATTGTGATTTTAGTGTATTTTAGTTATAATTTCGTGTTGTTTCAACGTGTTTGTTGTCAGTTTGTAGTTTTTTTTTGTTGCCTACATAACGTTTTGCTCGACAGCCGACGGAAATCGATGAGAGGGAGATAGACGAGATATCTGCCTGGCTGGCGCAGGAGAAGGTAGGAGCTATTGATTAATTATTGTTTAATTTATTAATTTTATTAAATACATCATGGAGGTTTATGAATTATCGACCTTAATGTATAAAATGTAAGGTTTTGCATGGTTTGTCTGCTTTGCCTGATGTTTCATAGAAATATTTATTTGTGTGTAGGTACACAGGCGAATAGCGTCACATTCCTTCGCTCAACGAATTTATATTTTCGATTTTATAATATCATACAATAATCTAATTCTACTCTGAATCGAATAGATATAATTCGTATAATTGGAGGGAATCGGGACCTTTTCCAAATCCAACACAAATTTTCAATGGTTTTTCTTAGGGTAATACCAATAAAATTGAGATTAAAATGTTTCCGGAGGTCTAAATTTTTTTATACGATACATTATTATAAATAGTTCATTACAAAATATACACAAAAACTGAAAAAACTAGCTTTACCCGATTCACCTTGGCATTGGGGTGAATCAGGTTACGAATAGAGCTTTTCGATAGGGCTGGTACTATTTAGTTGTTAGGTAGTTACCTAGCTTTAGGTAATTAACTTTTTAATATCTTTAATGAGTTAGTTACAAAAGTTTGATAACTAAATTAAACTACTTTATATTCTTAAACACAACATAAAAGTCATTTTCATTTCAACAAAGTTAAATCTAAAACAAAAGTATTGTGACATCCCAGAGCTGTCCCTATTCTAACTCTAGTATCTATTCCCCTCAATCTACTGTATGCAAGTCTTTTTTTTTATTGCTTAGATAGGTGGACGACCACACAGCCCACCTGGTGTTAAGTGGTCACTGGAGCCCATAGACATTTACAACGTAAATGCGCCACCGACCTTGAGATATAAGTTCTAAGATCTCAGTATAGTTATAACGGCTGCCCCACCCTTCAAACCGAAACGCATTACTGCTACACGGCAGAAATAGGCAGGGCGGTGGTACCTACCCGTGCGGACTCACAAAAGGTCCCACCACCACTAGGTTTAGGTAATTAACTTTTTAATAACTATAATGAGTTACAAAACTTGATGACTAAATAAAACTACTTTTATATTATTTAACACTAATTAAAAGTCATTTTCAGTTCAACAAAGTTAAATCTAACAACTCAACAAAAGTATTGAGACATCCCTGATTTGTCCCTATTCTATTCCACCCCAAACTACTGTACGCAAGTATCGGTAAAAAAAAAACTTTTAAATTCGATAAGATAATAGTTATGATAAGTGACAATTCCCCCAGGCGGCTTCCGAGAGCGTCCACGAGAGTGTGACCAGCAGCGACTTCGACAAGTTTCTGGCGGAGCGTGCGGCCGCCGCCGAGCAACTGCCCGATGTCAACGAGCGCAGCCCTAGGCACCGGCACATCAACAAGGAAGACCAGGACTCCAGGTTCGCGCTCTGATCCCACACGCTCCGGACGTAGCACAGCGACATCTAAACCCAATTTAATCAAGCCCAATATCTCCCGCAGAGCTTCACCTTAGTTCGGGTCTACAAGGTTTTGTGGTTGGCCAGCTGTCGTCAACTTTTTGCCGTCGTGACTTTTATAATATCCGACACGACAAATAAATCGTGTCTGAACGTTCGATCGTAAAGGCCAACGACAAAACGGCATATGTATATAAATGGATCGGAAAGATGCGTTCCCCTGTGACGACGTGTATTCATGTAGTACATACAGGTCGTGACTTGTTTATATAAAGGGAAATTAGATGGTTACGACTTTTTAATGTAGTATCGACAGACTGTCAAGATAATGAAAAGAATTAGAACATCAGTCATCCGACATCATAATAAAAAAGTGGTATGTGTGGGTTTACTCAACAGATAAAAAATTCAAAACATAAAGAGGATAGTTTCAGTAATGAAAATAGTTATAAAAGACAAGATGATCAAACGATTAACGTTTAAAAAAAACCGTTAGGGCACCATGAGAACGCACCCTTACCGATTGTGGAACGAGAATAAACTGTTACCTTAAGTATACAAATGACAGTTTATACAACTTAAGGATAAATACGTCTCTGCTTAGGAAGTTCATTTCAGAACCCGCAATGTAAAGCTAAGGTAGATCGCTCCCCGCGTTCGTTCGAGGTCACAGACCTAACACGTCATCTGAGATTTTACCTTTACATTACGTGCAATGCTAATTACTATTGTATTCATTAGCTCTGCCATCTGCCTTCTTTGGGTATTGTAATAGCTTGGACGTATAATCGACTTGACAGACAAGAAGTCTGGTAATTGTATTATACAGTAGAGCAGGGGTGAGCAACCTTTTTAATCAATGGGCCAATTTTAATTTTAATTTTTTTTTGGCGGGCCGCACATAGATTAACTCTAATTACTAATTTACGAAACTTACTAAAAAAAGTAGAGATTTCATATGCAAGTTTTAATGCAAGATAAAAACAAATAAGAAAAGAAGAGAAAAACGAATCGATGGGAGAAAGTCGATAAGATAAATTCAATCTTAAAAATGCGTGTTGCTCATCCTTGCAGTAGAGTATCGTGGATATAAGAACTAATAGCGTACCTGGTGCTAAGTGTTTGCCAGAGCTCATAGAAAATAGATGCGTTCCGGCTTATAGAGTGGAATGTGTAAGTGATCGCAGTTAGCAGTTTATTAGCATTGTGTTTGCATTGGTTAATGACATTGGCAACGATGAAGTTTAAAATGCATTTGCATTCGTAAACTGTTAAAAATATATATGTATACAAATATATACTTTAATGAAATTAAGTAACAATAACAATAATTATCATGAAGATTGCTTAGTTCATCGACGTAATATATATAAATCAGGCGCAGTTGTTATTATTTGAAAATAAGCTTTTTTTATATTCTTATTTTGTAATTGTAATATTATTTATGAAACCAAAACTTAAAGTTCACTTTAGTTTTAATTGAAATTACACGTTATGTAGGTTTGATGCAGCAGACTTGCCATTTGGTGCCTACCTTATATAGTAAATACTATTACAATCATGTACTAAACAAAATAATTCCCATATTTAATGTGATAAAATAATAATAATAAGATGGAAAATAATATCACTTCTTTCGTAATTTATAGTTTGTCAATATGTAAAATGTAGAAAAAACAATCATTTCTTGAATAATGTTTTTTGTTAATGGATTTAAAGTATCATCGATCATTGTATTAATCTGTTTACTTACAAAAACAAACAATCACTAAAATACAATGATTATTCTTCTCCTTTCTTTTTTATTATGGTAATAAATAGGCTTCGTTTTGTGCCAGTATCGAATTTATTTATTCTTCAATTATAATTAAATACATACATATACAGTTATTTGAAAAATAAACGTAAAATAACGAAATGAAATCAAGTAGATTTATTTGAAATATTTGTAAATTGGGATGAAATTTAATTAGATCAATTGAACAGAGATAAGATGAATGTAATGTCCCAGGAAAATGGTGGAAATTTGCTGAGACTTTTAAGAAGAATGTTGTTTATATTTCATCAGCTAGAATTAGTTCCGCCACACTTGTATATTTTCACAGATACTGAACGGTTGTAAGCCACCATTATTGCACTGGAAATCCGAAAAAACGCTAGATTAAATAAAAACAATTTACCCAACTTCGCTCCCTGAACTCTTGATAAAGTCGCATAAAATCGTATTATAATTAACAAATAGTCTAACTAGTAGCTACACTAGTCTCTGGAATCTAAGGCAGTTTGTGAATTTTTATTTCTTATAAGGCTGCACATTCTTCGTTCCGTTTGCGCCACGGAATCACAGATTATGTAAAACAGTTTATTTAAAATAAAACTTTTAGACCTATATTCTAAGTTAAGCTTAAATATTTTAAGTCTCACTAATAAACCTCTGTTATTATTTAAATGTTTTTCAAATCTTCTACGTATCTACTTTACGTACTATTTCCGAAGACCTTTGTGAAAATATCAATAAGACTCGCTTTTATTTCATTTTAAAGAATTCTTTAACTACATTAAAACGAATATTAACGTGAAAATGCGTACATTTCACTTGTTCCGGTATTAACATAATCGTGTTGCAAATTGTATTTAGAATCGCTTCTATGCTTAGGAAAGTTGTCTAGGTCAACTTTGAATTGCGTTTAGAAGATTGTGAAGTAATTTTCACAGATATACACTTAGTTTTTAATTACCAAAAAAAAAACAGACCTTTTAGATCAGTCTTACTTAAATAAATTCAGTATTGGCTTATTATAGAGACAAATAAATTCTTAAAATTTTTGGTAATTAAAAATATTAATATAGACTTCGTGAAAATACGAGAGCATTTAATGAAAGACCACTGGCTTATATTGTGATATAAAATCGGTTTGTTCAATAAGTAAAATTCATTTTAATATATTATATACGATTAAATATATACACTTTCACGGTATATATTTTGGAGCTACGAAAAAGTATTTATTTCTCTCACACTACGAATATAAATCAGAAAAGTTTTTATATACCTATCATACAGAATACATTTTTGTTTTTACGAATTATCTTTCTTCAGTTCCATCTGTATATTTAGCATCGAAACATTGAACAAATTGAGACGGGCGCTAGTACATGCGGTTTATATAGTATTCTAAAAGGGTCGTGATTGTGATAAGAGCTAAATGTAAATTAGACGTATTATAATTTCAACATTTAAAATCATTACATTATAGTATTCAACAAACATTAGCGTTTTAACAGAATTCGTAATATAGTATATAATATAGTATGACGTCATCCGAAATCTGTTAACGCATTCTAATATATGTGTGGGTGTAATTGCTATTTTATTGAATCAGCGTTATTAATTTGTATAGATTGTGTGTATCGAAAACTACCGCATAGTATAATATTAATGTGCTATTAATTACAAAGGCCATTCCACATTGTCTTAATTAAATGTTCTATTCGTGTCAATGTGATAATGATAAAAGAACAAGCTTAATGTTATTATTTTAATATATTTTACGTTATAATCGTTGTATATTAAGTGATAAAATAAATATTATCGTACCAATATTACTGTTTTATTTTAAACTAAACTATTTGGAGGGTTAGATCGACACTTAATTCGTAATTAAACAAAAACGAAATACTAAGTAGACATAGCGGTAGTATTACTCGGAAAAAAATTACTACATTGTCTATGAAATTCTATAAAGTTCTATCGTAATTCAAACAAATAGGCAATGATATTTTTTATATAAAAAGAAGCAGATATGTTTCAAGCGCACGTCAAGTGAAGACTCGAAAACAGGCCAATTGGGACGTTTCGTCTTTAGTCGCGTCTAAACAAATGCAATAATAATATAACAAGTGCAATCGTTCCAATTATAGCTATCTTTTTTACTCACGCGCTTATCCCATCTTTTGTGCTTTTCATTAATGCTACTTGTCAACATGTGTGTGCACTATATCGGTAGGTATGTAGATATATATGGCGCGATCAGATTTGAAGAGTCAGTTACTATGAAGATAACATATCTGTTGTATAAAAAATCATTGCAAATAGGTAATTTAAATCTTAAGCGTTATTATCTATGATTTATAACAAATACAATGTATTTTTGTAGTGCATTATTTTTAAACGAACGCTAAATATGTCTAGGATTAAAAGTAGCACAAAATGCCCTTGAGATGTTCTTATACTCTGGATAAAGACTGAAACTGATATGCTTGGTTTAGTTTTATTCGAGTACAAAAAATCACAGAAGCTAAAAAAAAATTTCGAAATTATAAGACACCTAACTCCATTTTATCTATTTACACTGGTTAGAAGTACCAAGTCGTGTGAGCTAATAATATCTTAATTTTAAAAGGCCCGACAAATTATGTTCAGTAATAATAATACTCAGGAGTTAAGATTATTATTTAAAAAAACACCTTTTTAATGATATTTTTATGAAGAGTAAATTTAAAATACTAGATATAAGAGAAAACAGACAGAGGTCATAATGCTACTTTTGACTCGATGACATAATATTTTGCTGAAGTCGTAACTAATTGTAAACATAAGTTTTAAATCTAGTGTTAAAATGCGAATAACTCATCGGACAACGGTTACCAACTTTCTCGAGTACTGTACCAGCGTATCATTTATCACCGTCCAGCATTTATTGCATTATATACCAGGACGTATTGTTAACACACATGAGTGGGTACTTAACACCTTGTCTATTTCTACCACAAAGCAGTCGTGTGCTTCGGTTTGAAGGGTGCGACAGCTTACGCAATACTATTTCACAATAACATACAAGCTGTGATGTCTATGGGCCCCAGTGACCGATTACATTATGTGAGGCATTTAACCATATAGGTATAAAAATACTGTATAGGAAATTCTATCAAAAAGGCGTAAAAAATAAAAACATTTTATTATAATTATTTTTTTATTCATTTTATTTATCAATTTCTGTATCTACAACTGATACACAAAAGTTTTGGCAGATACGCTATCCTGATTATTTACAATAAAAATGACATATAGAAAATTACATATCCAATTTGAGATACACAAGTATTAAGTTTCAGAATGTCTAGTTTAAAAAAAAATATTACAAAAATACAACTTAGTATTTTTCTAACTGGATTTTTTTTTAATTTTTTTTTTATTTATCTTAATCTATTTCTTGTGATGGTTATAATATAAAAAGAAGTACAAAATAATCGCCAATATTATCTACGAGTATAAAACACGTACTTGTTCGATGTAACTAATCTTTGTACTAAGGAATGTTAAGACGATCATTATGATACAGAAATTATAAATACAGCTGCTACAACTAACGACGCTGACGTCACGAAGGAGTCACGAACAGAAACAGCATTTAAATTAAGTTCAACAGTTCGCACGAGATCCGTGTCCATAGATGAAGCGGATAATCAGTTTCATGTGTACTCTCTCTCTCTCTGGTCACTGGTTGTACGAATGTTCGACATAAATTATCAAGTGCGTATGTAACTAACAACCCATAGAATATGCCATCGTTTCTCAAACTTTCGTCGCAACGTGTCATAAAATAAGATTCGCATTCGAAATATTTAACGGCAGTCGATTTGGATCTTAGATTTTTGTTAAATTAGAACTAAAAGGTAGCGAGAGGAGGCGTAGTCAAACTTTGAATATTTTAGTATCAATTACGTAGTAAAAGGTTGAGAAACGACATCAATAGACAAACAACTTCAACACAATTTAGAGAACAATTCAACAAACAGTCTAGCGAACAAAATGCAGATATTTGTAAGTATAAAAAGTAAATAATTATAACTATACAGTACTATTCTATGGAAGTCTCATAAGAGGGCGCCGCGGCCAAGTGTTTATAACTCGTCTCTGGCAGGCACATCTTCCTCCTCTTCGAATTCGGTCTGCGAAAGAAAACGACATTAAATAACACTAGAAAAAATTCAATTCGACAAATTTAGTATCTATACTAATATGTAAATCTACAGTGGTTTTTACAGATGTTCCGTTATAACTACTGAACCATGCATCCGATTGACTTGAAACTTGGTATCAAAGTAGAAAATACATAAACTTAATGGATAGGCTAATATTTATATGAGTGTTGGACTCCCTACAGCAGTTGCGGGGGCGTTAATGATGAGAATGTTTGTGGGGGTGAGAAATAATAATGTTAATTTTAAATGCCCAGCGAAGCGGACGGGTACGGCTAATACATAATAACTTGACAAGTCACTTAAAAGCTAATGTCATCAGTATTATTATTACATTAAATGTATTGAAGAAGTAATTGGCAAAATGTAAATGTAACAAAGTTTCAAGTTCCATAATAATTTAACCAAACCGTATCAATAACTGAAAGCGTATAATTACAGAACGCGCATGACGAAAACAAACACGCAGCGTTGCAGAAATTACAAATCAAATGTATCGGGTTATTGTAAGTAATGCTTATTAATACTAATTAATGGTTTAATGATAGGCGTTTGACTTGTTTTGTTTTGTGATTTATGTTTAAAACAACATATAACAATAATGAAAATTAACTTCATCAACTTAAAATGTTTTTTTTTTATTGCATAGATGTGTGGACGAGGTCATAGCCCACCTGGTGTTAAGTGGTTGCCGGAGCCCATAGGCATCTACAACGTTAATTCCCCCACCGACCTTGAGATATGAGTTCTAAAGTCTCAATATAGTTACAAGGGCTGCCCAACCCTTCAACGAGGAGCAGGCAGAAATAAGCACGGTGGTGGTACCTGTCCGTGCGAACTCACAAGAGGTCCTACCACCAGTAAAAAATAATATTATCATGTAGTCGAATTTAAATTGTGAATTCTTAAGAATGACTCGAAAATTACTAGTTAGAACCTAATAAAATGTAAAAAGGACCACAAGAGAAGCACGAGGATATAAAAAAAAGAATATTTAAAATCAGATCACCTAAAGTTCTGTGATAACACATTTAAAGAAAGTACAGACGAATATAAAAACTCCACCTTTTTTTATTCACATATGATTAAAATTATAAATTAAGTCTTTAATGTTGGTTTCCACACTATCGACGCATTTTGGATTTTTTTTAATAAAACTATATTTTTAGCATCGAGACTATATGAGGGATTTTTCGCCAGTACGTATGAGGTCTTTCCAAGGCAAAACTGGATTTGTTTACGCTATGAGACCTTATAGGCCTCAAAAATGTTTTCGAATGTACCCATACTTATAGAAATGTGGACTTGTCGCCTTACGCATCAAGTTTTGACTGCGGCATTAGGAAATAGTCGCGTGCGGGGCTTTTAAGTCGCAAAACGCAGTCAACGTGCTAAATATATCTAAAACAAATAAATAAATTATGAGAACTCACCACAGAAGGTACTGGCTCGGCGCCTTCACCGTCGGTCTCAACGAACTTAGTGAGGCCGGCCAGTGTCCTCTCGCCGTTGTAGTCGTGGACCTGAACAAAACAATACTCATTTAAAAAAAAAAAAAACAATATTTTTAAATATTCAATATCTAAACTTTGAGAATCGTATGTTTTTTTTAATGCTTTAACCTAGTGCTAGTAGTAAGTAGTAATTCTTGTAGTCTGTTAAAATAAAGGAAAGACATAAGATCAATTTCAGTACAAATTGTGTTAATCGAATTTTCAAATTAATGAATTTTGTTCATTTATATGGCCACCACAGGACTTACTTAACTCTATAATGACGTATAAGAAAAAAAATCATTAAAAAAAATTACTAATAAAACCCTTCATTAGTTTACTAGCACACTTGTTAGCTCGTATATTTCATGTGGATCACATCTCTCACCTGGTTGTCCTTGCTGTAAAGTTTGATCGTTGGGAAGGACGTGATCTTGGTGTGTTCCAGTTCGTTGGCGGTGGCGTCGATTTTGGCAATGATGACGTCATCGTCGTTCTCAAAGTGCTCGCCGAGCTTGTCGTAGATAGGGACCAGCTGTTTGCAGTGGCCGCACCTATAAAACAAAATTAAATGCTCTTATGTTGGGAGACAAGTACTCTGGGAGATGAGCGCGACCGAAGACCATTTCGCGATAGAAACAATAGGTTTTTTTTTCCAACCTCAGTTTAGTAGCCTTTAGAGGTTAGGCAAGCGTAACTGAGCGAGTAAGTGAGCTCACGGAGCTCTAACCTGAGAACGTTGCTAACACTAGCCCTGGCACGAGCAATGCTTCACAGGACAATAGGGGTCCGATTAACGATGAACTTACAAGTCATTTCACTAAATGTACCCTGTTTTCCTTTTAATATTAGAACAATCTAGAAGTCGATCGTGGAGAGCGCGAGATTCGTAATCGCTTCGAAAATTCTTATGTGTCGGCCCGACAATCTCGCGCAAGTATGAAGATAGGCCACTTTGCATGTTTGTGATCTGGCAAGCGATTCTTTCAAGGATGATTAGAGCAATATTACTACTATCCTTATCGTTCATGGAAATACAATAACTGTTTGTTATTTATAACAAACAATGATTATTATCAATCGATAATTAAGGTAATCTTGATAAAATAAAAATTAAAAAACTTAACTGAAATTGACAATCTTAAACATTAATATGTTACCGGAATTTGAATTCTGATTATTATAATTTTACTTTAACATAAAAACATAAAGCTAATCTAATATTTAATACTGTTAAAAACTATTTTGGTATTTCATTTTATACTACTTACTATATTCTATGTGATAAATGAAGAAAACAAACAATAGCCTCATTATCATTTCATTAAAATAAAAATCCTGCCTTTCATATTGTAATAAAAATAAACATTTCATTTTCCGAACCAGTGAACAAGTCATAATAAAATTGTCACATTCTGTCGGCAATTAAAAATTAATTGTTCGTACGAAATCAACTGAATAACACCTTAACGAACTGAATTAATAGCACTTGTGTAAATTTTATTATACAATATTATAGAGATCTCATAATAGATGTATCATATTATGTTAGATTACATATTGCTCTACTTCACATAGAGACACTCGACCTTGTCCAGGAGTAAGGACGCGGTGTTACGCAATTTACCTGAATGCTTCTCAACAATACAAGTAATCTTATTATTTCAAATGAAAACTGTCATTAAGGTTGAAATCGTCTGGTGAGCTAATAACTGTGTTTAAAGAAATCAGAAATGCTAGCTAGGTCATAGCTGAGCAAACTTCGTTTGAAGAAAAACATGTTTAATTCAGTATGCGGCAAAATATATCAGTGGGGACGCTCTGTAAAGGAGTGTTTCCAGGCAACTCTAAGTAATTTTACTACGGTCGTCAGTGGAGCTATGATAAAATAGAGATTATGAGATCCTCTATAACAATTCCTCGGAGCATTGCCCTTGGAACAAACGGTATAAAACACGCAGAGAATCGAAGTCTTTTCATTAAGTATCGACAATTCGAACAGCTCTCTTCTGTATAGAGTCAAATAAGATAATATCTGATATGTTGGAGACGGAGCAGTATTCTCCAAGCAAGGCCTGGTCTTGTTTTTTGTAAAACACATTCTGTGTCGAGACATGAAAACTCCCAGCAATTTAGAAGCCAATAGACTATAATCTACCAAATGACTCCGATTTGAACACCATTTGAAATATCGACCCTATGAATACATATAGGCTTTGGAAGGAATTGTAACGCCACGCCAATTGTAACACACATTAATCCTATTAATTTCGGGAGGTTTCCATGCGCTCAACTGGCAGGCTACAGGTTTGGATGGGCTAGCGTCATAGGTACCAGCAATGTGGTCACGGAAAATCGCGAAAACGAAACCTGAACTTACCACAACAAATCACTCAAAAGTACATTCAAACTGATAGCTGAGACGTTACTAAAATTAACGCGTTTTGTGATTCACAGAAAAACATGACATTACGTTAATTTATCGAGAAATCATAATAAATTATATACCTACCTTGAATCATTTTTTCATTTTGAATATATAACTTAAAATATACTTTGCTTAACTGACATTTGACGTGTTTCGATTCGATGCATTAGTACGACAATATGGTCGTAGAAATTCGTGAAAAAAAATTAACGTGGTATGAGCATGTTATGCGAAAAAAGGTCACATGATCATCATGTGAGAAAAGGGACTCTGGGTATGAAAGTGATCGGTAATGTAAAGAGAGGGGGGACGTATGACTTGAATGGGCTGTGTGAAAGAGATGCGAGAAGAGAATGGGATATGCGAGATAGAAAGTTGTGAGTGCAGAGATGACGTATGGTAGGTCTGAATGGAATAAGAGGACATGCTGGAACGTCTTCTCGCATTAAAACTGTGTAATCTCAAAACTTACAAATTTTATAGGATTGTGATTTAAAGGTTTAGCATGTGATATATAATTTTTAATATTAATCATCTTTGCAACATTTATTTTTTATTTTTTACCAGTTACATTATCTGTTATTTAAAGTAAGATAAAATTATGTATTAATTTTGTTAATAGAAGAAGAAAAAAAAAGCTAAAACTAAACAATGCTCTTTTGATAGTATTTATGAGAAAAATATATACTGGTGATACCAAAAGATTCGGCATATTAAACTCAATTTCGAATATTTTTGGAAATTGTACACTTTTAATGCGAAAAGACGACATAATTGGAAAAAAACAAAAAGAAAGAGGTCGTAAGTGATTTGATCGATCGACTTACCAAGGAGCGTAGAATTCGACGAGGACCTTCTTAGTTGTGTCGAAGACGACTTCGTCGAAGTTGGCGGCGACGAGCACTTTGACGGGTTTGGCGGCCCAGTCCGCGGGCAGGTCCTCGCTCAGCAGATGCTGCTTCAGGGTGCCGTCGAAGAACGATTGAACGAATTCCTAAAAGGAAAACTATACGTGTAACTACAGCTTTCGTTATTAAAATCTCCGGAAACCTTGAGAAACCAACAAAAAAAAACTGGGTGTTAGGAGACCGCTTCCGAAAACGAAGACAGACAGACGATAGTACTAATGACACCTTTGATGATGGGACAGAAAAATTTTTTTATTAAAACGTTTTATTAGCATTATTTACGCTCCATCACCTTAGTACAGCTAAATGAAACGGTAGTTTCATAAAAAATAGGTATGTACATTACTTTACTAAAAAAAAAAACAGCAATGAAACACAAAATCAAAAACAGCTGATGCTCGGATCAACGAACACACGCGCGCGGCGCGGCGCATACATACTTATTTACAATATTTGTCTAAATAACTCCATCATCATAATATGTACGTGTAGTTTGAATTTCGTTTCGAAAACTATTAATAAAAAAATATTAGAAAAATTGTCTACTTTCTTTTAACTTGGTATAGAATTTTAAAACATATCTTTTAATACCACTCTCCGATGAGAGCAAATTGTACACACGAGCAACAAGCAGTCTGTTCACCGTACATGATCGTACGGACATGGTTATTGTCATGAACGATTCCTTTTTTTTAACGAAATTCTCAAGCAATTAAACACGTGAAATTTTATTTTCTTATGTCATTAAATCGAATCAAATGTATTATAAAGGTGAATTGATGTTTTTAATTGAACATCAATCAAGTTTACTCCATTGAAATAGCTGAAGAAGTTTTTTTGTTATGATATTTTTTCCAAATTTTAAAACTTTAAATGGCTCTCCCGTCTATATAATGCAAGGGTGTAATAACGTACAGATAACATCCGACCGTTTTAACACATTCATGAAACACGGTCGAAGCGTGACAAACAAACTGCCTCATTATATCGTAAGCTGTTTGTATGATAAGGCGATAAGTGATACTTGCAATTTTACTTAATTTGAACGGTGAAAAACAATCTATGCAACTTCAAAAATGTAGGCTAAATAGTTCTACTTTTATTTTAAACCAATATCCAAAAAGGAGAAAGTTCAATGTTCGATTGTACATTTTTTTTTTTATTTTTTTTTTATTGCTTATATGAGTGGACGAGCTCACAGCCCACCCGGTGTTAAGTGGTTACTGGAGCCCATAGACATCTACGACGTAAATGCGCCACCCACCTTGAGATATAAGTTTTAAGGTCTCAAGTATCTCAATTTTTGGTATGTTCCCAGATTTCTCCGTTATTTTGAAAATACTTTTTGAAGTGAAACTTCCTTATCGGCGTTGGAAAAAAATTTACCGTCACATTTTTCGGTTACGCGTCACTTTTTTCCGTTACGCGCCATCTGTTTTGTATTCATGTCTATGATAATAAAATCCTTTTGTTTAAACTTTATCTAATTTAACTTTTTTGTATTCATGTCTATGATAATAAAATCCTTTTGTTTAAACTTTATCTAATTTAACTTTATTTAACCAATTTCTAGAAAGTTGCATGTAGATCATTTTTCGAAAAATAAGGCCATAAACAAGTTTCACTTCTTACGTGTGTACACTAGTACACGCACACATTTTTAATTATGGTCGAGCTGGTCTCGTTGTTAAGATAGATTACTAATGTATAATATATCGCTCTGGAAGTTGAATTTCAATGTTTTTTAAAATAATTATTATCCTTTTTTTTGTACTCTTTGTTTTCAAATTACTGATAATCTTTTGGTTTAGAAATAATAATTTCCTTGATCACATTTATTTATCGAAGAAAGACGAAATTAAATCTCAATAGTACCTACGCAAAATACATTATTTATATACTCGACATTGGATATACTGAAAAAATAAAACATTTTATGTTTGTGTGTTTGTTGTCATCTCAGACTTATCTCATCGTTCTTAATTTAATTGAAACTTTTTAGGTTAGGGTCAATGAACGTTTCTCATACATTACCGTCAATGAATTTTTCTCATACATTAGCGTCAATGTACAACAGATGGAACAAAATAATGTTTTTAATCAACGCTGGTCGTAGTCGAGCACAGCAGAACTAACTTATGTATATATATTTTTTTTATTCTTACCTCAATAGCGTTAGGCGACAGCTCATTACTGCTGGGCTTGTATTTGGCCATGTCTTGTTCAAGGGCGATCAGACGGGCAGACGGAACCTCATCCTTCTTCATACCGAAGAACTCCAAGATCCTAATAGAACAAAACAAAAAAAGTGTGTCAATTAGGCTGCAAAAGGCTGTTTTAAAATACGCTATTATTTAAATAGGCCGTGAAAATCGATTTGATGTTTCATATAGACTCCATTTATCGAACGCGCTAAACGTGAAATCGAATTTACTCCATATTATTTACTATTCTCGTGTTTCAACAAATCAAAGGATTTTTCGTTATGAAATCGTTAAAATTTATCAACCTTATTGGATCCACATGTTAGTTCATGACGTCATCATTATTAGGTGCGGGCGTCGGAGAGAGAGAGAGAGAGAGAGAGAGAGAGAGAGAGAGAGAGAGAGAGAGAGAGAGAGATAGATGTTTCTAATACGCACCCACTCTTCCTAATGCCTCTCAATATATCATGAAAGTCTTCTACGTCATTTTAAAGCTATGTATTTCGATGTGGTTTCCATTAGAAACGTATACCTATTTTAAACGTCCTTTTGCGTACGAAATAATAAATAAGATCAAACGCGACGAATTTCTTCGTTGAAACTTATCATCCATACACAAACGTGTCTTTAATAATTACATATTTTTATGGTGATAGTTGGGGTAAACGAGTCCACGGGCCGCCCAATATTTAGCGTGTCTCAAAGTACGTAATCGTTACAATATGTATTACTCCATTCACTAAGACAAATCTGGGGGCCATTCCAGCTACGCACTGTCTGGCGGGTGATCTCATGGACTCAACCTGAGAAAGCTTCCTAACACGGGCCCTAACAAGAGCAGTGCTTCGCAGAATCTACCAACGGATCGGAATCGCGGCCCACTGAGAAGATCCGGCGAGAAACTCACTGGGCTGGGTCTATGGGTCTTTGTTATTAAAAACCCGTGAAGTTTGCTCACTACAAACTTTAACGCATGACTGACCACGGCGGAAATAGGCAGAACCGTGGTACCTACCTAAGTGCGGGCTCAAATTACGCCGCACCAGCCAGACCCGCCTCTCGGAAGTAGGCATGGAATTTGATTTAAAATTTAAAATTCACATAGGATCTGTTCAACGACTATTGTTCACGTAAACTTTATCGCTCTACGTGGATTTCGGTGATAACATCGGATTGATTGAATTTATTTTAGATTTGATTAGATTAAAACGAAATTCGCGGTTATCCTATCACGATTACCGTTGTTAGGTACCTAACACGTTTTTAAACGCGTCCTTCGACAGTTTTTTTTAAACTAACAATTATCAGTACACGAACATGAGCGAAGGTATTCAATCTGCATTAATCGACTACTATTGATATAGTATGTATAATCTGGTTTCTAATAATTTATGTGTATCGTTTCTCCAAGCTTGTCAGTCACAGAAAAGTTTAAGTAATGTGACAGTTGATGAACATGAAAGTAAAAAAAAACACTTTCTCAAGTTTTTACGTCCTCCCATATTAGTACTTCGGATTTTTGATTTTTTTTTTATTGTTTAGATTATTGTTAAGCGGTTACTGTGGAGCTCATAGACATCACCTTGAGACATGAGTTCTAAGTCCCAGTTTTTACAGTATAACGGCTGCTCCGCTCTTCAAACCGAAACGCATTACTGCTTCATGGCAAAAATCCGACGCCCCTCTCACCCCTTTGGTGAGATATCGTAAGATTTTTATCAACTCCCCCCCCCCCCCGCCTCCTCTAATCTGACGTGAGATTCTTCAAAACTTCTAATTGGACGGTAATCGTGTTGGATTATTGAGAAAAGAAAAAAAACTTGGTCTGCTGCTCTGCGAAGTTCGGGCGAATACGGAATAATTTTTCACGCAATTTTACACCGTTTTCTGCGAGAAATATAATTACGTGATCTTTGCCAAGACCCCTAAGTGAGATTTGGAAAGATTTAGATTGATCCCGCCCCCCCTAGAACATCTCACGTAATTAATGGACGCCCACTTAGCTCCTACGATGCCCTAGCTCCAGTAAAAATTAACAAGAGCGGTCGGCATACTGATAACGTGTTCAGTTTAGATCTTCTAATAAACGTTACCTTTGGTGTTCATCTTCGTCGGCATCGATGGCGACGGTCATGATCCTGTCGCGGTAGGTCTTCGCGACCGGCTTCAAATCCTCAAGGTATTTCTCGAAGTCGCCATTTTTCTAAACAAAAAACACGAACATTATTCGTTGGCGTCACGAAAAGTCGTACAGAAAAAAGAAAAAAAAAGATTAACTTTTACTTTCGGTATGAACGAGGCCAACTTCCCCCCAACCACCCACCCCCCACCTATTCCCTAGTAGCTTAAGGGGCTATTCCAGCTTCTCGCGAACGGAGTTGGGCCACCGTTGCGTTGGTCACGTAACGTTAATACATAATATGTCGGAGACGGTCATTAGTTTGGTAACAAAACGAAACTCGGCACGATTCCCGAGAGGTGACAACACGACCGCGATGTGGTCGGAACTCGGCTAACTTCGTGCTACGACAGAGCCTAACCAATGAAGGCGAGCATAGACGCCATTTTTACACTTACCATAACCAGCCTTCTTGAAGAGCGGTGCCTCCGCCCTAGAACTGTCATTCATTTTTGTTTGCTAACGTCAAGAGAAGATTTCTAAATTGCTCTATGACAACAAACGTGTTTTGTGTACTCAATATTTCTCTTAACTCGATATCACCCAATTTGCCGCTATGATGTCTGACGATGGTGTTAATAGTGCGGTTTCTCCGACACATAAATATAAATAGTTCAATTTATTTAAAACAACTACCTTTATTTTTTAAACTGAAGTAGATGAGAACTACCCTTTATTAATAACCCTTTCAAAAATTAACTTAACACTTAGGTACGTACGTACGTAACGGAATCTTTCAAAGCAATTTTCACCAAGTTAAGTTTTTTTTAATCGTGTATATCTATCTACCTATATTAAATGCTTTAGAAGTAAATAAAGTAAATGTCGCCACCTGAGGTCAGAGCCCCGGATGTCCCAGCCTTTAAAACCAAACGCTTGACTGATTCGCGGGAGAAACAAGCAAATAGGTTTAAGATAGTATTCACTCGAGTGGTCCTACATTGTGCCTTAGTCAGTACAAGCTTTGCGTAGTGTCGTATTTTTTATTGATCGAAACGCAAAAAAATTAGGATTCGCTTTCGTCATATACGGCATACCGCTCATCTTATTGCTATAAAATTTATATTCAATGTCTGTGCGTGAATTTGCTTGCACTTGAGCTAAATTTACACTATTTTATAATTGAGGCCATCAGCGTAAAAGTGTCCTAACCAAACAATTTTTCATAATCATACTTATATTATGTATATTGTAATTTATTTAAAATATAATAAATTTTGATGCAAAACCGGCCTATCCATAGTTTCACCCACAGATAACAACAGTTGATTTTGTAAACATTATTTCTGCGTGTATTGTTTTTTTGCTCACTCTAATTCAATTTCATGAAAACTTAAACCTCATTGCTGCATAATAACTATGGTAAGCTTAGGTCACTTTTGCGCTGACGGCCCCAAATGACACTAGTCATTGCTAAAGGTTGCATCTAATATACATTCGATACGTCGGAGCACCGTTATAGCTACCGAATGCTGACAGGGTTCATCGGCCCCGTCCGGACGATTACCTTCCTACGTCAACGTTAAGACAATCACGTAGTCCACGTTTGTTTATAGTGCAATTTTAAATAACACTGTAAACGAACGACAGCTTCAAGATCAGGTTTTTTTTTTCAGAAGTAATTTGTTCTGATTGGTTAATGAAGAGATAGGCTTTCTATATTAGTCGGGTAATTGAATGAACCAAATTTTGCACGTAGTTTTTGAAATAATATTTTGAGCACTATATAACGCGACCCATTGTAAACGTTATAAGGTAAATCTACTAAAACTACTATTTAATTACATATATGTAATATGTACATAATTTTTTGTTATTTTAGATTTTACAATATGAATATTATTTTTCACAAATTTAATAATCCCTCCGGGCATTTGAATGTAATGATTTAATATTAAAATATTACCAAAATTTTAAATAGATTTTATTGCCTTTGTAGGCAGACGAGCATACGGCCCACCTGATGGTAAGTGGTTACCGTCGCTCATGGACGTCAGCAATGCCAGGAGCAGAGCCAAGCCGCTGCCTTGTGGAACTTTTATCATTGTTCAGAAAGGGATTATAACGAATTAAAAGCGAACTCACGGACCATATGGTGGTAAATGGTTATATACGTTCATTATATATAGGATATGTCGATTTTGATATGTCGCCACCGTTAGATAAAAAAATAAGACAAAGTCTAATTATACTATACAGCGGCTGCCCTCTGCTTAGTGACCAAAATGAGCAGAACGGTGGTAGCTACCCGTACGGACACAAAATACGACGCCTACAGTTTAATATTTTTGTCGATTTCATGTTTATTATAATGATGTTCATTTATTAAAGTGAAAATAGTAATTTTTTTTTAAACTGAGGTATTATTGCCCCGCTCTATACGAATACAACTTCTCAAACATCATTAATGTTCACTCGATTTATATGAAACATAATGTGACATATATTTCCAAAATGCAATTTAAATTGAGGACCCGAATAAATCAAGAAAGAAATATCGGGCAGATAAAAATATTTTTAGATATTCTTGAAATATTAATTTGCTCTACGTTACGAAGAACTCATAATGAATACAGCAATGTAGAATTGTCAATTTCTATAGAAATTGGAGTTACGATTGAAATTAGACCACGCATATTGAATGACATTATATTATGTAGGTACATCTATATGTTAAATTGGAATGAATTTTATCACCGTTTCCGACAGACTAATTAATATACAGGAAACCAGATAGGCAAAAAAGCACACGAACGACTCGAAATAATATATGTCTAGTTGACTATGTACACAAGGATGATGCTTTAAATTTCAAAATCTCAGTCTTTAAAAATAAATCAAGTGACAAATCTTTTTTTTAACCGCGTACCTTCTTAGAAATATGAGCCGTAAAAATTCAATAGTAAATATGTATCATAAAATTAAACTAAAATCATAAAGTTAAAACACAGATGTATAAAAGAAATTTACATAATTCATGAGGAGATTATTAATAATTATTTAACAATCAAACTACAGTGAATTAAAAGTATGATAAAATAGTTTGTTCATCTTTGCGTTTTATTTTTTAAAAATATTCCAATTGTGCTTTCGATACCGCGTCTTATCCGTGAAAGTTCAACAGTTAAAGGTCACTCGCGTCGTTCACACAATCACGTGGCAGTGAAAGTGCAAGCTCTGTGAAGTATCGTCTATCTACTTTCGTGATCTTAAATGACTTTTATGTACAGATAGAAAATAGGTTACTCATTGACACGAAATACCGTTAGAAAACCTCACGATCAAACCAGTGTTGTCAGCACCGATTATTTATTCATGGCAATTCACAATGATCAATGTTGCTGCCTGTCTATTGATACTGAAAAATTTCTATACTTTCACTTCGAATAGATTTTGAAAAAAAATTTTTTTTTGTTGCTACCCCAAGTATTGTAGTGTTTTAAATTTAGTAAGAAACTAATAAACTTATTTGTAATTTTTACCGTGTTAATCTCCAAAGGCAGTTTAGTTGCGCTATGCACAATTTATGTGTGATAACGCATGGCTTTGGTAAACGCAAAGGCGTTTAAAGGAAATATTATGTTACGGTGTAACACCGAGGGGAGCCATCGTTCAGTGTGCTTAGTGCGAGTTTTTTAAGTTCTCAATAGCGTAGAAGTCAAATCAAATTTGTATGGAGTTGGAACGTTTGCCGCTAAGGGCGCTGTTCCAACTGCATACAAATATAAGTTACTTTTACACTGTCGAGAACGTTAAAAACTCGCACTAAGCACACAGTTCAGTTCGTTTAATTGAGTATTTAATTAAGTCCATAATGATGCTCTTTGTGCATTGATAACGTTATCATTGTACACAGTAACTGGGTTTTTATTATTATTAACTTTCTTGACTTCATTTGACCTTATTATAATAATGTTTAAATTTAATGCGAGCATGACAACAGGCATACCTATCTGTTATTTCTATATCCACTAAAGATTTTGATTAATAAAAAACTGTTAGTAACTATAGTTTGTTAAATGTAGCTCTATACGTGAGCAGCGTCAAATTTTTCTTTTCAACTTTGTTTAATAATTGATTTGTCGAATAAAACTCTAGAATGATTATTCTGGGAACCATCTCACTTATCAAGCCATATTTGACGAATTATAATTTTGGTGTTCACTTCATCTACTCTCATAAGAATCTTTGATAACTACAGATCTAATACTTGCAATATTAAATTTCACACAGGTTTATATTAAAAAAAATAGTTTCCTTGGATCTCAGCTTATCACTTCTATGTCAATTGATTAAATAACATAGAACCTATTATAGACACCTATTATAAAAATGGCGGACATAGAAATCCATAATTTCAAAACAATATATTAGAATCGGTTCCAATTCGAAACAGAATTTCTTACTTCGAATTGATAAGTAATTAAAATACTTTTTAGCAATATAAACTATCAAGAAAATTTACATTTTAACAGTCAATAAATTTAACTTACTTTTACATTTTCTTACTCATCGGTAGCATAATTTTAACTTGTACATACTCTTATTCAAATGTTTCAGATTACAATATTTCAATGTCTGTTTGCTAAATAACATAATTTATTCTTACCTTGGATAAGAAGATAAGAAGGTGGTATTTGATCTTTCCACCAAAGATCTTGGAAGCAGTTTCATGCGAGAACTCAACGATAGTAGGCATGCTCTGGACAAACACCCAAGCATTGAGCAGATCCTCAGTGATTTCTTCATCTTCATATTTGACACGTTTCTCTTCGAACTATTAACAAATTTTACAATTTAAATTTGTTATGTTATATGTATGTAGTATTTTTTTTATTTTCATTATAGACAGACAAACGTTCGGCCGATCTGATGTTAAGACGCCACGGTCACTCATGGATGTCAGCAATGCCAGGGGCCCAGACAAGCCGCTACCTACTGCACGGTACTCTCCACAATCCTCACAAGAAGGACATAACATAGCACTTGGGAAACATCACTATATGTTCATTCAGAAATATTTTCTGCAGGATTTTTTTTTGTAGTTTCTCATATTTCCATGTTTATAAATAGCAAATAAGCACTATGAGACACTTTCAAAATAACCCAAAATTCTCAATCAGATGTACTAAAATGTTATAAAATCTTGATTTATTTGAAGTTATTTTTAGGTGACAAAATAATTCTACTAGTTCAAGGATTTACATTATTAAAATATGGTATATTATAACAACATGGGTGACTTCAGGACAATTACAATTCAAGATTTTCTTATGCATAATATAAAATAATATCTTTATATCTTATAATATATATTTTAATGCTCTTATTATTTTCAAAGTTTAACTGATGTTGTGAGTATCTGTCGGTTAACATTTTTACATTGCAGTTACTAGCCAAGTGTCAAAATACGATTCTCTCATCTTTGGATAAAAATTATATTGTTAGCACTCAAATAAATTATAGTTATACATTGACCAATTTTCGATATAATCAGTACCAAATGGAAATTATTATATTAATTTAAATGAAGAATGATATTTTTGATAAAAGTTTGAGTTTTTTTCTTACGTTCTTGAAAAGCACAACATCTTCATCTTCAGCCTCCAACTCCTTGATCACTTTCTCATCGCTGACAATAGCAAATACTTGGTCATCAACAACTTGAGCAGTTGAAAGGAAAGTTTTGGCTCTGGCTGAGCTCTGGTCCGAAAAGAAACCAAATACAATAACAGTATTGGCATCAATAAGTTCTTTAGCCTGTTCAGCAGAGGTGACCTCAACAGCAGGGGGGCCAGTCTTCTTCTTCAGCCAACTAATGATGTCATCAGCTTGACGACCACCTGTTTTACACATGGTTATTGATTAACATTATTTTTATGTTTTAATTGTTAGGCAATCATTATTTATATGTTCAACAACTACTCAATTGGAAAACAAAATAATTGCTATACATTAAGACTACTGTTGAATAATTTATCAGCATACCTAATGAAATGTAGAGCACTAAAACTTTAGACGGTGCCTAAATATCTGAATTTAAATTTTGCTTAAGATTATGCACACATAAATTATATTTTAAGATTGGATATTATTGTGTTATATTAAATAACTAAGATAAAATTGAAAAAAAAAATTGTGTACATTTACAACAATTCTTGATGCTCACCTGAATAGTCGATAGGACTGCCATTCCTGAAGAATTTGAGAGTCGGGTATCCTCGTACACCGTAGCTCTCGGCGAGATCCTGTTCTTGAGTTGCGTCAACTTTCGCTAGTTTGATAGGAGATTCTTCTTCAGCCAGCTTTGTGGCTGCCTTGGCGTATTCCGGCGCCAGAGACTTGCAGTGGCCGCACCATGGAGCATCTGTATGAAGAACATGCGCGATTCAGTCATGACACTGTGACGTGCGATGTGATACAGGTACCGGCCGGCCGAGTTATGTGTCTACTAAACACATTTATCCAGATACAGATGGATTTTAATTGCAGCATGAAAATTAAAATAAACTATAAATATTTCATAGAAAAACAAGTATTAAGTTAGTTTTACTTACAGAATTCAACTAAAATGTACTCCGTGGTTGAAATTACAGTTTCAAAGTTAGCTTTACTCAAAACGAGTACATTTTCTTCGGTGGGCACTTCATCTCCGAGAGCGAGCCCTAGCAGGGCTATAGCCGTGAAAATTAAAACACGCATTGCGATATTATCGGCACCTTTTTGCTAGCCTACTCAGAAGACGGAACTCTATAAAATGCCGAAAAGCGCCACTTCATTCCCTTTGCCAAACTTGACGTTGCAGCGTCGAACGTGTGTTGGGCTCTGATTGGTCAATTTTTTTGTTTTAAAATTGACAGCAAGACAAAGGAAAATGTAGTACTAAGTTTGAAATTGAATTTAAAACGAAAACATCACATAATTTTAATTTTGTATGCAAAATGACTAACTAAAAATATAATTTTATTAAGTATATATTTAAATTACTTTCAAGTATTTTGATATTTCCAAACGTAATTCATGACGAATGACGTTATCAAATTGACAATGGTTTGACAATGCAGGACAGTAAAAACAGATGTTATTGACGTAACTAAACCAATAAACAAAATAATAACAACTGTGAAAGAGAAAATTTGAAACTAGGCCATTCGAAAAAAAAAGACAACTATTACTGTTTCTGTACGTAAGTATGTACTAATTACATTGGTTATATTTTGCAATTTCATATTAAAAATTCCCAATTTCTTGCGATTATTAAATCAAATACATATTCAATAGGTTAACTTAAATTTTCATCTAACTTTTACTAAATTACTATAAAACTACTAACCACCCAATAAATTGAACAAAACAACTAATTCTAATTTAATGTCGATAAAATAACAGTATTATTTAAATCACTGTGTCACTGAAACATAATAATACTTCATAAATGTTAGGAACCATGGAAATATCCTCAAGAATGTAGGCTAGACAATGGCATTAGATAATAAAGCCAATACAAAAAAATATTACTACGCGCACCTGTCGACATAGCGGAACTCATAAATAGTAATTTACAAATACTGGCACATAGACTGGTCGAACTAATGTAGATTTATTTTAGATGATTTAAAATTGGAACCGATCCAATTTTTATACCCACCTCCTTACTCATTAACAGTCTTCATTTAGTTAGCGCGGTTGTTTCTTACTTCATAGTAATTAGAAGATATTGAAGGTTTGTTAAATAACCATAAAATGCATAACATTGTTGTTATAAAAGTTATGGTAGCTGAAGTACTCAGTTGAACCTTTTTGTAAATATTATAAAAGTGAATTACATGATAATTAGTCAAGCCAGTTAATCTAGAATCTTAGTATAATGTTTAGAAAATAATAAATCAAAATTACGATTAGAGCGAATAAAATTTCTAATCTTGATAAATTTTAGATGCCCGAGTACACAGTAACATCAGAGATTTACGAAGAATATGATTACACAAGTAATATAGCTCCCAGCGCAAATGGAAGTAAGTGAAAAATATAATTTCCTCAGATTATCAATAAAAAACTATAAATGGTACTGCTTTAGTTATTTGACGTTAAGCCAAACTTCAGAGTGTTGTCAAAAATAGAAAAATATTGAAATATTGAATATTGCCATTTTAAATTTTTATCAAAGAATGGGTGTGCATTTCGATGCCTGATCAAGTTTGATGGGTATCTGATATTACAGTTCAATACAATGTTCATTTTTTGGGTAATAACAGCAGCTGAACCCATAATATCGATAAGTGGCAACTCTCTATTACAGAATAGTGTGTAAAAATGTAACCACTTTGAATTCTGTAATTCTCAGAATATTTAAGGCATTCTGTTTTTAGGAAACTACTTAATATTAAGTAGGTTGTGGAAGAGTTTGTTTATCTTCGTTAATAAAAATAACATTGTATACTTATATGTGGATCAATCGACACCATTACATTTCGATGTTGTGACTTCATGTCTATTTATGATCTAAATTCTAATGTAAAAAATGTATTGGGCGATGTGATTATGCTAGTGTTGAAATCCTGCAGACAGTACCAATTTAGATAACAGGTACTTAAATAAAACGCGGCTTTGCACGTGTGGTCAAGGGAAAAGGCGTCATTTATTTTTCTAAAATGTCACAAAAAAATTCAAAGATAGTAAAACAGTTTCTAAACTATTTCCAAAAATATAATTAGAAATGATAACAAAACAACTTTTTCGTTTTTCGCGACTATCGTTAAGTATCTCAAAAGGCCTGTTGTCTGTTGGTCTAAAACTAACACAAAAATTCGAAATCTGACACAAAAATCGTGTCAATCCGCTGCTTCGTTTCGACGTGAAAGAAGGACAAACAAACACATAAACGGGCCTCGATAACTACTTAACTAGGTACTTCAATAAAGAGTTTTAATACGATTAAATTGGGGTCTTGTGAAATTGTTTATTAAACAATGTGTACGTTGTTGCAGATGTCATATCGGAATTTCCATTTTTGCTACCCGAAACCGGACAAACTGCTAAGTTTGATGAAGACGGTGACCTAGATGTTGTAAGACCTAAAAGAAAAGTTATAAGAATTGGTATGTTTTTGTATATATTTGCTTTTGGTTGTTTATGTATGCATTATTTTTTCAGCCATCCTTTAGCTATAGTAGCGACGAAGTAGACGAACGTGAGAGACAGCGTTCTTCTGTCTTTCTCTCGGCTCTACGATTTCGACTTTGTGTGGAGGCCCGAGGCAGCGTACATCCACGATTACGACTTGGTGTGGAGAGAGCGTTCTTCTCTCTCTCTCCACACGCAGTAGTAATCGTGGGGCGGAGAGCTAGGATAGGCATGTTGACCGAATTCTGATCCCCAAGGTCGGTTTACGGTTCCTCGTAGGAGGAGGATGTAAGATGATGTGTGAGCTGTTCTGTACGCATCTTGCGGGTGCACCAGCAACAGGGTGACGGTAGAAGGCATTCTCCAACCAACGACAGCTGAGGCTAACCCAACGGGGCGTACCGGGGATGCGTGCCGAGATGAGTACCTATTATTTCATGTGAGGTTCACCCACTCATCCCGCCGCGGATTGTTGAACGACAGGATTTTGTTCAACATTGAAATTTATTATGCATTAATTATGCATTTTCGCATACCGCCCTCATCGGGTAGATGGAAGTCAACATCCAAAATTGCTTAGAGGCAGGAATAAACCATAGACATAGTATTTAAGAGAATTATCACAATTATGTTTATTTCTAAAGGCTCACTCTTCTCTCTTTTCGTCTAAATGGGCGTACACACCTGGGCATTTACGTTGTAGATGTCTATGGGCTCCGGTAACCACTTAACACCAGGTGGGCCATGAGCTCGTCCATCCACCTACGCAATAAATAAATAATAATATATATAATATAATTCTGGAATTCAAATAAAAAAGCAACATTTTTCGATTCATTACAGAACACAGCCCCAAAACGGCAATATCTTTAGTGGGCCGACAAGTGTGGAGAGGAGCATTTCTACTAGGAGACTGGTTAATACACCTTGGCTTAAAAGGCGAGCTCTCCAATAAGAATGTTCTAGAATTAGGAGCAGGTACAGGAGTGACTAGTATCGTCGCTGCCCTGTTCGCTGAGAAAGTAGTGTGTACAGGTATTTGCAACGGTTTATTTATTAGTAATAATTGTACAATATGAATGTTTTTGAACAGCTCAACGTAAATTACTTTTGTTACTTTTTTCAATTGAAGTTTTTTTTTTTACGTCAGGCATTGTTCGCGCCTCTGTTTTTTTTTATTATTTATTTTATGTTTTTTTATTTATTTATTGCTTGTTTTTTTTTATTGCTTAGACGAGTGGACGAGCTCACAGCCCACCTGGTGTTAAGTGGTTAATGGAGCCCATAGACATCTACAATGTAAATTCGCCACCCACCTTGAGATATAAGTTCTAAGGTATCAGTATATGTAGTTACAACGGCTGCCCCGCCCTTCAAACCGAAACGCATTATTGCTTCACGGCAGAAATAGGCGGGATGGCGGTACCTACCCGTGCGGACTCACAAGACGTCCTACCACCAGTTATGTCCACACTGCATCTCAAGTAAAAGTCAATTTTGAATTCACCTATGCGATAAGTTTACATACCGTCAAGAATGTACTTGCAGGTCACAAATAGAAATATACAAATTGTAAGGAATCTCTCTGATGCAAAAATATAGACGAATTAACCTAAAATCAACTTTAAATAACTTTATCACCTTGAAACACTGAACAAGTATTAATCTGAGTGATGTTAGTTCATTTTTACTTTTAATCTTCTATCTTCTACATATATAAAAATGAATTGCTGTTCGTTAGTCTCGCTAAAACTCGAGAACGGCTGGACCGATTTGGCTAATTTTTGGTCTTGAATTATTTGTGGCAGTCCAGAGAAGGTTTAACGGTAGTTAAATGTGAAAATGCTCGGAATTAAATAAAAATAACAATTTTGTTTATCCTTTAACGGTCGTCTGGTGTAGTGGTAAGTGACATGGTCACTACACAACGGGGTCGTGGGTTCGAATCCCGCCAAGGGAAGATATTTGTATAATAAATATAAATGTCTTTTCCAGGGTTATGGATGTATATTAAATATATGTATGTGTAAAATAAAAATCTTACATTTATATCCGTTATCTGGTACCTGTAACACAAGTTCTTTACGAACTTATCACGGGACCAGTTAACGTGGCGTGATTGTTAGTAAATATTTAGTAAATATTTGATGTTTCCCCCGTCGCACGGATTCCTTTTGTTCGTTTTGAGTTTATTTTATACAAAAATGTAGATATTTTATTTATCGATTGAGGCGCTACGAAGTCTGCCGGGTCAGCTAGTGTTTAATAATAATTAATCACCTTGTTATAGACATCAACGTAGGAGGTATCCTGGATCTAATAAACCTGAATGCGAAGTACAATAAGGATTTAATAAAATCACATTTCTCTGTAATGCCGCTGGACTTCACCGATACCGCGTGGAGTTCAAAACTTAATAATGTGATCAAAGAAGTCGACTTTATTATTGCGGCTGATGGTGAGTCAATGCACGTTTTATTACAAACGAAGGTAGGCAAAAATACTACTCATCCGAGAGCAAATGGTCATTAAGGCTCAATGTCTGCACAGCGTCTATTATCTGTAGTCTAAGATACAGATGCTTGGAATATTACTTATAACAACATAACATCGTTTTTAATCTTTACTCGAGGGATTTGCCGATGTTGCCTAATATTGAGTCTAAAATAATTAAGGATATGGACTTAAGTTTAAGATTAACATAGTCTTAGAATACTTTTATAATACTTGTCTAAAATAATGTTATTTTTAGCGTAATAATAATACTTAATAATTTTAGTAATGTTTTTTGTATTAACGAGTTGGGCGTTTTGGTGCAAACTGTAAGCCTGACTTTGTATTGAAATGAATAAATAAATAAAACATTTTATTTTATTTTTTTATTGCTTAGATGGGTGGACGAGCTCACAGCCCACCTGGTGTTAAGTGGTTACTGGAGTCCATAGATATCTACAACGTAGCCGCGCCACCCACCTTGAGATACAAGTTCTAAAGTCTCAGTATAGTTACAACGGCTGCCCCAGCGTTCAAACCGAAACGCATTACTGCTTCACGGCAGAAAATAGGCAGGGCGGTGGTGTCTATCCGTGCGGACTCACAAGTGGTCCTACCACCAGTAATTTACGACATTTACATTTTGACATTTAGGGTCGCATTCTAAACTATTTAACTTAAAAATAATATTTTACAATTATGTATGTATAAATATAAGATTAACATTATCGATGTGGTTTATTTAAATATTCCAGTGATATACGACGATGATGTGACAGCAGCCTTCATATCCACTATACAAAAGATACTTAACTTGAAACCTCCAAAAACTGTGTACGTTGTGTTGGAGAAGCGTTATGTGTTTACAATAGAACATCTGGATTGCGTCGCGCCGTGTTACGAGACATTCCTCACTTTGTTGAACAAAGTGAAATCAGAAAACGTTCATTCCACTTGGACAGTCGAACAACTACCTCTAGATTTTCCAAAATATTTCACTTACGACAGAGTGAAAGATCTAGTGTTATGGAAGATATCATCCAAATAGAACTGTGATATAAATATATTTATAGATTTTATTATGTACCTAATGAAGACAATAAAAGACAATTTTAGCACCGAATAATTATGCATTTTATTCACAGAATTTACGTACCTAATAAATAATATAATGAAATAATTTAATTTCATAATTTAATACTTTATAAAAACACCAAACTGAAATAAGTATGACCATGTGTTACTTCTTTGTTGGCCAAAATTCATTGTATTTTGTAAGAAATGTTTTCCTCAATTCAGAATTTCTTGCTTGTTGGTCTTTCTCTTTACTGAGAGCTTCAACGCTCTGCCCAACACATAGGTCACCGGTAAAGTGAATTATCATTACTTGAGTGTTAAAAGTGACATTTTTGTCAGGATTCTGTTTTGTGTAGTTTGTTCGTGGGTCATATTCGACCTGGTATTGCAGTGTTGCTTCATCGTCTGCAAACAATGCAATAATAACAGAGTTTTGGCAGCCACAAATAAATATACTTTAGACTGCCAAAATCACATGATGAAATTATATAAGTCATTTAAAATAACCTCTTTTATGTTAAAGAAAAATGTTACGAATCAAACAAAAAAAAACGAAGGTTTGCAAAAAAATTATTTATGAAATTGCAGCATGAAAACACACATTTTTCAGAATAAGGTGTTAGGATTGATTTTATTTAATTTTTTATATTAATTTAAAAACATCTAACTGCTATAACATTATGCGCACCACAAAATGTGAAATGTGATTTTTCTACTTCCCAACAAGGTTTTCCAATTAGAAAAACTCGGATTAAATCTGATTTTCTATAACAAGAGTATTCAGAGGGTTTATAGCGGTTCTCGTAACCGAAATATTGATATAATATAATATAATAGGTAATAAAAACCAACTTTTCACTACCAAATGCAACCAAAATATAAGGTGAACTGCTCGAGAAACGCGGGTTTCGTCTTTGCGTCTTAGAGCAGGTTCACGAAAACATCTGTTTGCTAAAATTACGTGTTCAATATTTTTATTTAGCTTGGTAAATAATCAAAAATTCAACTCAAGGTACTTTACGTTTTGACTTCAGGAATTGTCTCTCATTGTACCCTGTTTATACCTAATACACTTAGTAATTGTTATATATTGACAATATTCATTAGTAATTGTAATGATCGACTCAAATATACATACTGAATTCTTCAACACCTTGAACAGAGGAATCTCCGGTGCACTCAGGCCCACAACGACCGTCTTTTAAGATTCCTCTCATCGTAGTCAACTTACTGACCGCCTTCTCGCTGCTTTTCATGTATTGGTCACACTTGTGCTTATCCATGTTACGGAGAAACTTTTTCATCTAGAACCAATAATATAGCAAATAAAATAGAAAATGATTATCTAATACCTAAAAATTTATTTTTTTCCTTCAATAAGCAACCTAGTAAAGCTTTATACTAATACAATAATAGGTTTACCGTTTTTGATAATTTCTTAGGTGGGTCCGTATACGACATTTTCGGTTCACCCGGATTGCTTCCAATAACGTGTAATGTATTTTTCGGTAAATCATAATCTGAGTAGACCGAGGCTTGTCGTTCTGGTGTTTCTTTTGGTCTGGATCCTGTCGAGGATTTGCTGTTTGTTGGTACGTAAGTCGATTTCGCGGCGTCATCTGGCTGTACATTTTGCACAGTTTTGTTCTTGGCGTTCTTTTTCCTTCGAACGGGAGAATCGTCGTTGGACAAACTCTCTTCTGATGTCGATGGAAACACTTCATTCAGACTAAGCACTTCCACATTGCAGTCGTCCAGATTTGAAGCTGTATCAACATCCGCTAAACATGGCTGGTCTGTTGAGTGAATGCTGATGAACGATCTTTGACCAGAACAAAAACCAGCTCCATCATTCGTTGTGGATGGTTTCTTTGAAACCGTCACTGAAATTTCAACGATTTAATTTAATATTTCAGTATCTCTCCTATTTGTTTGATTTCGATCCATCCCACTTACCGGCGTAAATACAGGATTCTAGACCTTCCATTTCGCCTAAAATTTATAACCGTTAATTCTCTATGTACTTTATTTTAATTTAAATAATAAGTTATATGTGATATACCTTTAACCTCATTTCCCTGGGGCTTATTGTCTACATCTATTTTGTTTTTAATATTAAACTTATTGATATTCTTCGTATATGACATTATAAACAACAAATTTCAGTTTGGGAATGTTGTCAAACAGCTTTCCATTTTTCAGTTCTTGTTGACAACGGTACTACGTTTTTTTTTACATTGACTATTGTTTTTTGGCATTGATGGAAAGTTTTCGACTAGTCAAAATTCATAATGCGTACAATAAGATCTATTTTAAAAGTTTGATTCAAGAAAAGGCAGGACTAATAAAACCCAGTATTTGAAAATAATTACTATATTTCATTTCATAAGTACAATTTACTGAACATTACTCAAAATGGAACAAATACAAAATTAACAAATTAACTTTTACCAAAAATCACAAATAATAATAATACATCAACTGAAATACTATTTTAACATCAAACGTATAATAAAAAGAAATTATTCCGTACTTTATCTACTTAAAGTAAATGTTTGATTGACAATGACAATAACGAGAATAAATTTTATTAGACTAAAATTATTTATACTAACGTACAATTTGCATTTTGTATGAGGACCACTTGAGAACAGTAAATCGAGTTAAGGCAATAATCACCCTGCAGTCTTTACAAATGCAAGAAATTCGATAAAACGATTTCTTAATTTTACACTATGACTCGATTTTAAACGACATTGTTATAATTCATTAAAATTTATCTAAAATGAAACCGATGCATAACTGAATTATCTAAATAATTTGAAATACTAAAGAGGAACGTCTCTTCTTTTATTTTTATTAAAGGCAACAAGTATTTAGTAATCAGTTAAGTTTGAAATGTACGCGACCATTACAGGTAGGTGGGTGTGTGCAAATAAATTATACAAAGTGCATGCTGATACAGACGACAACCATAACTAAAGAATATTGCTAATAATTAATAAGTATTGAGAAATCACAGTAAATAGAATCGTGGCAGTCAATGCATCACTTAAAACAAAATTACGAACAAACGGCATTTATACGTCTTGATCTAAAAGATCGAAACAGAAAATATTATAATAATTTAACTAAACTATTATCATCCATCACATGGAAAGCCTTTCATAGAATTAAAATACGGTAGTAAAATAATAGGGAACCGGACATCGATCAACAAAACAATCCAAAAATCGATTGCATGGGATGTTAATTCAATTCCACTATTTTCTTAAAATAGGCCCGTAATATAACATCGTGGTTAAAATCAAAGTTTAAAAAAATTTAGTTCAAGTTTAATCTATTGGTTAGTTCAAGTTTAATCAAGTTTAGTTTTAGTAATGTCAATACGAAAATAAACATAATTTAATCAAACTGAGCTGACTTTGATGTTGAGGCAATATTCATTCTTTTCTATCTCTTTTCAAGTGTATAAACTAAATTTGCTTAAACTGAATTATAACAGCTGAATATATTTCGGCAAATAAAAATTAACGTTTTGTCTATTTCAAGGCGAAATAAATTCTTTGTCACGGTTCTTAAATTTATATGTGTACACTTTCAATTCATAATGATAAAAGGTCTGTTGAAATGAAATCACGCGTTCTCAATTTTTCTAAATTGAAAACATAATTTTTAAGAAAAGTAGTGGGCTATTGCCTAATGCCTTAGCATATTGCTAAAATAGTATATTAGTATATAAATAAAAACATGTTCATATTAGTTAATAAATAAAAACATAGCGATATGAGGTCATAGTTATCTATTTCTAGTAAATTTGACACGAATCAGCGGTTATTGGCTTCGAGCGGCCATTTTGAAAATAATAATTTAAACCCATTCTCACAGTTTACCGCCCTTTTATGGCCGCTTTTAATTAGAGATAGTTTAAACTTAGAATGAAAGTTCAACTATGATTGCCTTTACGATTTAATTATGAGTGATCGTTGAAACCTTAGATTTTAGTTAAACTACGATTGATATTACGTGCCTTAGTATCTGTCTTTTAAATCATTGATATAATTGTCCGCAATTCATTATTAGCTTATTGCTTGTCCTCCATTTGGTCCACTGACAATAAACTGTCAGTTTTGGCCCCAAATGACGTCACACAAAGAAAAGTGACGTAGAATGCGCGGATATTAAAAAAGTAGTAACTATCCGGTTCCCTATTCAGAAAATAATAATCGATATCGAATTAGATAAAAAGCGCTAGAAGTTCTATCGTTAATCGACGAGCTGTATAGAGCTGAGCACGATCCCCCTGTTGAGCGGTTAGCCTCGTGCGCCTCAGTCCGCGGTGGACTGCCAGCGCAGTATTCGCTATACAGAGCTCTTTCTCTCCGATATAGACGAACGTTTGCGGCTCTGTATGCTCCCTGAAGACATTTTCCGTTTGGTTTCCGTATGACTAGGACCGGGGCTCGACGATTTGTTAAAACTGGCACTGGCACCCGCCATCCTGTTGGCATTTTGAAGGTTCGAAGTCTTTCGGCGAACCGACGGCGAGGCTTCGACGCTGTTCAGCTTGGCCGTGCTCGTCTGAGGTTTCTGCTCTATGACGGCCGGCTGCTGGTACTTCCCGACGGCGTTCCAGTGTTCCCGCTGCGCCTTCAGCGATTCACGCATCCTCTCTTTGGCCTCAGGATTGTCCGCTAACATTTGGTTGAGCATCTGAACGGTCTGGTAGAGAGCGACCGCGCTGATCAGTCCGAAGTCGTGCAACGAACACATGTGCAAGATAAAGTTCCTATATAAATTCTTTTCTAGAAGCTCTTTCCCTCGCATNTTCCCGACGGCGTTCCAGTGTTCCCGCTGCGCCTTCAGCGATTCACGCATCCTCTCTTTGGCCTCAGGATTGTCCGCTAACATTTGGTTGAGCATCTGAACGGTCTGGTAGAGAGCGACCGCGCTGATCAGTCCGAAGTCGTGCAACGAACACATGTGCAAGATAAAGTTCCTATATAAATTCTTTTCTAGAAGCTCTTTCCCTCGCATTTGAAGGAACATTTGGCAAGCGAGCGGAATTTGACAGTCCCCTACGTAATTGTACTTCATGACGTGTAAGTTCCACATCTTCATGAGCTCTTTTTCGCCTTCGTTGACGTCCGTGAACTCGTCTATCATCATCATAGTCTTTTGTTGCAGCCACAGGGGATCAGTTTCACTTTCGGAGTCTATGTCTAGTTCGTTGGGATACACCGGTAGACACGTAATCGTGTGGTGGTAGAGCCTGGAAAATTATTTTAAGGTTACTAGAAATATTATTCGTCGAATGCTTTTATAACAACTTTAAATGTTTGGAGTCTTGATGCACTGTGCTCTTATCAAATGTAGCACTGTAACTTTGTATTTTTTTTATTGCTTAGTTGGGTGGATGAGCTCACAGCCCACCTGGTGTTAAGTAGTTACTGGAGCTCATAGACATCTACAACGTAAATGCGCCGCCCACCTTGAGATATAAGTTCTAAGGTCTCAGTACAATTACAACGGCTGCCCCACCCTTCAAACCGAAACGCATTACTGCTTCACGGCAGAAATAGGCGGGGCGGTGGTACCTACCCGTGCGGACTCAGAAGAGGTCCTACCACCAGTAATTACGCAAATCATAATTTTGCAAATTTGATTTTTATTACACGATGTTATTTTTTCAATGTGGGAGTGAATCGTGAACATTTGTGTACGTATTTCATTAGAAAAATTGGTACCCGCCTGAGATTTGAACACCCGTGCATCGCTAGATACGACTGCACCGGACGTCTTATCCTTTAGGCCACGACGACTTCTCTTCAGACAGTCTCGACGATCCCACAATTTCGTGGTTGTAGCAAACATCCGGCTATGGAAGGAGCTCCCCTCCACGGTGTTTCCCGAGCGCTATGACATGTCCTTCAAACGAGGCTTGTGGAGAGTATTAAGCGGTAGGCAGCGGCTTGGCTCTGCCCCTGGCATTGCTGAAGTCCATGGGCGACGGTAACCACTCATCATCAGGTGGGCCGTATGCTCGCCTGTCTACAAGGGCAATAAAAAAATATCTAGGACTTACCTATTGTGTCCGGTGACGTAGGGGCGTTGCGCGTCCAGCAGGTCTGCGTCGTCCAGCTCTAGGAACTCGGCGAGGTCGTGGTGCGCGGGGCGGCGCGGGCGGCACACGAGCACGCGGGTGACGGCGGTGCGGCGAGCCGGCCCCGCGCGCCCGCCGCCCATGCCCGCGATGAGGTCGTGCGGGGAGCCCGTGTACGAGCCATCGTACAGCTCGTTGATCGACACGTCGATACGCGCTCCGCCAGGGATCGGCTGCAACGGCATCTTATTTATATTTCTAATATTTTTATTCTAACTAAATAAAAAATAGTTTAAAAAACACGCTTTATATAATAATAGTTAAAAAAAACACGCTTTATATAAAATTCAACTAAAAAATAGAAAATAATCATAAATTGAAAATAGTGTAAAGAAAATGTATTTTATTGTAAAAAAAAGCGTGGGGTGCATGGTGTTATTAGTTATAAATATTTTTGACAGATATGAGTAGAATAATTATTATTTCAATAATATCTTAAAAAGCACCCCACGCTTTTTTTACAATAAAATATATCTATTTTTTTACACTATTTTCAATTTAAATTTATTTTCTATTTTTTAGTTGAATTTTATATAAAGCGTGTTTTTTTAGTTTTTTGAAACTATTATTTTTAATTTTTTTGTTAATTTTTTTTTGCGAATTGAATAATGGAATAATTTTATCAAATTAGTGTATTGTCATCGGTCCTCGATAAATCTACAAAGTTTGAATGAAATCTGGCCATTTAATGTGGGTCAAAATCGCGTCTAAAAGAGTCAGTTACAAACATACAAACATATATGCAAGTGAAGCTAATATAAAGAGTGTAAAAAGAGCTCACGGCCCATTTGGCGTCAAGACAAAACAATGTTACCAAAATTTTCTATTACTAACAGTGACTGTTTTTAAGTTGAATTATTTTCAGACTGTACTTTATTAGTAAATTGAAAGGTAAGTAATAAATTAATTTATACTCACAAAATATGTAAAATTGAACCTAGAGTGACACAATTTAAGGTGTTTCAGCAGTGAATACAAAGTCCCACAGTCCAAAGAACACCATGGACAGTGCAAGTCATCACATGCTTCAGTTTGCTGTCTCGAATTGTTGTTATATAGGAACTGGTAGATTATCTGCTGTCTTTTAGAGTCAGTTTCATTCGGCTCAAATTTCAATTTTTCACCTAAATACCAAATTATTATTAAATTAGTTGATTCAATATTTGTTAGTTTCCAAGATTTTTGTTGTTTAAAGCATACTGACATTACATACTTTTTTAACAATTAAAAAACTATTTTAATTACTTATGTTTATATCGTTAGATTAATCTACTGTGTCAAAAACTTCTGTGTACAAAATCTAAATTTTTTTTACAGTCAGCCTGTCTCACACATAATGGGAAAATAAATTACCATTTTTGACATCATTAGAATTAGTTTTATGTGATGATTTTTCTTTGCTAGAATTAGATTCTTTTTTTAGTCCATTTTCACTAGATTGTTGGTACAATTTAGGCCTGTTCACCAGCCCATTTGTGGGTTCTTGACTCCAGCTCAATTTTAATTTTAATAATGGTCTCACTTTGAATATGTCAAATGGATTAGATTCTGCGTGTATATCATTTTCCTGAAAATTTCAAAATTTTCATTATTCTGCCTTTTTTTGTAGTTTGTACATGTTACTTGGCTTAAGGTTAAATGGAAAATTTGGCAACTGATGTTATTTATGAATTGAGAATGCATTAATAGATTTTTTTAAATATCATTGCACAGGGTTAAATAAGGGATTAATGGTTATTTCATTGTCTATCATTTTTAAACAAAAAATCACTCTATATCGTTTACCAGATTCTAGTTAAAAATAGATAAATATAATAAAAAAATATATGTTAATTTGTATGTTTTTTTCAATATATTTTATATATTTTTTCAATAAATTACAGGGCTATTAAATATTGTGATAAAACTTTTGAATTCAATATTAAAGTACTTTTACATTTTTTGAATATCAAACATCAAAACAGAGCAAACAAGCCGATTTGTGAGTTGAATATAACTATTTAATTATTTCTATGTATAAATAAAATAATCTTCTATACAGAAAAATATTTATCACTTACATTAGGTATAGTTTCCCATTGTGCCATCAGTGCTTTGTGCGGTGATCGAGCGAGGGTATTCGTTCTTGTAGGTGGTGTGTCATGTAATACAAGATCATACTCTCCATTAGTCAGCAAACATCTATTATGCTTGTCATATACTATCAATTCACTACCATAAAGCTTGCTCCATTTACTATCAGTATTCTCCGTTGTAGACTTCAGACGCTTTGTCACTGGCTCTGCTTAAGATATAAAATTAAAAAAAGATTAATGGAAAAGTAACTGCTGTACACTGTGTTGATTATCTTCAATATTAATAAGCATGCTAGTCTCACTAGTGCAGAGTACAGTGAAGGGCTTAGTTTAGGTACACAAAGTTTTTACTGTACGTGTGATCTTATTGCCCTGCAGCAAATATAAAGGATTCAGATACCATAAAATATAATACATGTGACGAAAGGTAATTTTTCAAAATTGAAATTTTTTAAGTTGAACATTTCACACTATAATTTAATTAATTGCAATTGATCTATGTGACAATTTTTAGAAGTTTTCTTTACAAGTTTTCTTTACATCATAATTATAATCAAGATATACTATACAAACAAAGAAAGAAACTATCCTAATTAAAGTTAATTTAATTATTTATCATCAAAATAAGAACAAGTATTTTTCTTATGGTCATAAATGATCCATCTGATGTTTAGTGTACACTAATTACACATAATTTTACATTCAAAATTAATTTTAGATTTTATGAATTCTTCAATCTTTATAAGTCACATGGTATTTAGAAAAATAGTGCAATAAATAATTAATTATGGCAAGAAAAAGATTTTGTAAATATACAAATATAGTATACTAGCGACCCGCCCTCGCTTCGCTTCGGAAACATTAAAACACACATGAAACCAAAAAAATAAAATAATTTTTTTTTTTAAAAAGTAGCCTATGTTCATCAGATACAATGTCGGCTTCTAATGGAAAAATAATTTTTCAAATCGGTCCAGTAGTTTCGGAGCCTATTCGAAACAAACAAACAAACAAATCTTTCCTCTTTATAATATTAGTATAGATAGGAATTTTTGCTATCAGAAATTATTGTATAGAAAAAGAACATACATATATAAATATAATAATATAAAGCAGGTGGAGAACTATTTTAAATCTTACCTTCGCAATCTCCATTTGTGATCTCAGTATTAGTAGTACCATTAGAAGTATTGGCAGCATTCGCTTTTGTGACTGTTACTCTTAACATAAGCATATAAGATTTTACATTAGGACCCTGTGATGGACTGAATGTGTCACTTGATATGCTTACTGCTGAAGCCATCGCAGGAGGTTCAGATGTTGAGGGGTTTAGTGGAACTGAACAACTGCCAACCTGTAAGTTGATATTTGATCTACATTTATTTTAACATCTATTTCTTTCCAATCATAATTAGTAGTCAAAACTATGTATTGAATTTCTGATATTATGAAGACTTTTTTGTGTTCTGTTAAGTGGACCTTTTTTAAAATGAAACTTTTTTCATTTATCAGTTATACAGTTAGGATACATGTTCTTAAAAAAAGATATCACATTTGAATCTTAAGGCATACTGTTACTAGGTGCTGTGATAAATATTTGTTAAAAAGGGATAAAACCAAAAGATACAATGTAACCATATACTTGATGTTTAAGAAAACCCAAAAGCACCTCTGAATCTGCTGCAAAATCAGCTTGTTCCTTAATTCAATTTATGTTTTGGTTTAACTTATAAAGCATTAAACTCTTACTTTTAATCCAGTTCAAATACACATAGTAAGAATTGTTTTATTAATAAATGCATTATGTGCATAAATAATAAAATTTATGTATAATAATTAGCACTTTAAATAGTGTAAAAGTGAATGTCACTTACTGAAACTTCAACTATAGCAGACGAACTCTCTTTCCGTTTTTTATGACATATTTTTAAGAGAAGGGTTTCCACTTTCACTTGATAGTCTCTAGGATCAATGAGGCTCTTATCGTAGAATCCTAAGAATGTTAGAGTCATGTATCCTCCTAAGCTATTGGGCTGAAGTTCAGTACTTTTTTTTAATGTTATCTTTTCCAACAAAGAGTCAACTTTAAAGCCTGTTCTACTCTTATTACTTCTTGACATCCTTCTTTTCATATACGATAAAGTTCTGTTTAGGAATATTGGCTGAAATGAAAAACTTTGTGTGTAATGTAGTTATGAATCACTATATTAACTAGTTCTGATATTCTACGTACCGATAACATATTTCGTGTTCTTAGAAACCTGTATATTTGTGTTGGCTCTGAAAATACAATAAAAATCATTACCTATATACTCTCGTGTAACTTATTTGCACTATATCTATTCCTTGCTGTTCATCAAACTTACTTTCAAATGCCTGTAAGAATAGCTCATGATCGGCCTGCAAATGATCTATTTTAGAGTTTTTATTCGATTCACCGTCTTTATCTCGCTTCTTGGGAGGCATTTTTTGAGCTTTTTTATCTAAATTGTTAGTGAAACCGCCAAGTTCATTAGTTCGTTGACATGACAGNCGGGAGGAGACTGATGGGGCGGTAACTCGCGGTTTCGTTCTTCGGTTTGCCCGGCTTGTGTATGCCGATAACGTCCGCTTCTTTCCACGCCGCGGGAAAGATGCAGTTCGTCATAGCAGCATTTAATATGGTGGCCAACATCGTTATCAGTTGGGCTGGTAACAATTTAAGCGCGCGGTTGCGGATGCCGTCGGAGCCGCAACAATTTTAAGAACTTCTCGACTTTTTATACTTAATTTTATTACCTACTTCACAGTTTGGTCTGCGGACCACAGAGTACAGACTACTAAAATGCTTGATCATTAATGGTAGTTGATTAATCAACAGGACGGATTGCATTTTTATGTTACAATATTTCACACGGTTGACCTACGACTAGTCAAAGGTCGAAGGAATCCGCGGAATGTGGACTGCAAAGGAATGGTTTTTGTGAACTTATATCCAACAGTGGATGTCTGTGGCCTGTTTTTTTCCGCTACCTATTTGCTGATACCCTAAGGGGCTATTCCGCTTCTCGCGAATGAGTACATAGTTGAGAACACGGGTTCAATCTGAAAGAATTTGCTAACAGTTCTTCGCAGAATCTATCACGGGTCATATCGCGACCCACTGAGAAAATCCGGCGAGAAACTCTGTGTCTATGGTTAGTTCCTTCATCGAGCTCGACGAGGATGGTGACTGGTGCTTGAAGAGCCAAAAGCACAGAGAATGTATCCGGGGAATGACAAGACAACTAGACAGGCGACCGTGGCTTTGCATTGCCGTCGCCTGGGTCGGATATGTAATTAACTGCGGCCACGTTATGACGGTTTATCGTGTCGCGCTGCTTTGTCGAAGTAGCGTTTAACGATACTACTACTCATGTATCGGTTCTAAATTTAACCGTGAAGGTTCACTTTCCTCACATATCGTTCCAGAACCACTATATTGGTGGGCACGATCGGTTGCTTATTATGAATAAACGAAAACATCCCGCTAGAGCAGCGGTCGGGGAACTGGGGTAAATGACTCCAAATGGGGTAAAATGAAATTTTGGGGGTAAAAATTAAACTTTTGTGAGTAAAAAGTGAAACTTCTTTAGAATCGTTGTGATTTCAAACTCGATGAAACGAAATGGAACGAAACGAAAGAATAAGTCCAATGAAAGCGAATTTTTTTCCCCGAAAAAAAAAACATTTAAATTAAAAAATATTTTTTTAGTTTTTTCGTCTAATAATACAAGAAAAATATCATATAAATTATAAAATAACAAGAAATTATCATTTACTTATATTTTCTCTGGGGGCGATTTTTTTTCCTCAACTGTATATTACATATATTACTATTATAACCGTTATGTATTACTGGGTATTACATTGATAAATTGAATAAATGATGTTTAAATAAAAAAATTACTTATTGTTTTCTTTTCAAAATTATCATGGGGGGCTTATAATATGAAAGAGGCTAAAAAGAAGCGATTTCATTTTTTTTGTATTTCGCAACGGGGTAATATCAACTTATACAAAAATATTTTGGGGTAATAATTAAAAAAGTTCCCCGACCGCTGCGCTAGAGTTATAGTTATCCGTACCATCCGCGGGGGTATATCATTAACATACAGACTAAAAAATAGCGGGGAGAAATCGGAGCCTTGCGAGACACGGTGTTTCCCGAGCGCTATGATATGTCCTTCTTCAAACGAGGCTTGTGGAGAGTATTAAACGGTAGGCAACGGCTTGGCTCTGCCCCTGGCATTGCTGAGGTCCATGGGCGACGGTAACCACTCACCATCAGGTAGGCCGTATGCTCGTCTGCTTACAAGGGCAATAAATTTGTCGCGGGTGAGGGAAAGTTGTCTCTACTCGATACCTAAACGCATGGTTCGGCAAAAAGTATCGTATCTGCCACGCCCATTTTGTACATTTTGTAAATCAATCCGTTGTGCCAAACTTTGTCGCATTTCTTCGCGATATCAAAGACGAGGGCTTCGTCAACCAGCATGCCTTTAAAGGTGATGAAGTCCATTCGTTTGCGTTATAGCCGTTCGTATAATTTACCTAAAGCTCGGAGGAGGCAGGTCGGGCGGTAGTTTATGCGGCCTGATGATTATGCCGAATATGGAAAATGATTTTGGGACGTAATGAAACGTTTTTGTTGCTTTGTCACATTTTACAACACTGTAAGAAGTAGAGCTAAGGAGCACACATTCTATGAAAAAGTTTCCATCGAAAAGTGACCACTTAGGGTAGCGCCACTTATGCAAGTGGTCATTTTAAATATAGTGCCAAAAGTTTTTTTTAAATATTTTTTTCGATTCGGCAGATTTAACTCTTTTTATTAGTGATACATTCATATTATAACTTTTACTACACTAGTGCTATATTGGTGGGTTTTTGAGATGTATTTTGCTGTTTATAGCTACAACTAGCTAGCCGATAATTTTGTCAACTTGTCTCTTATAAAAGATTTTTCACCTAACCTACATGTACAAAATCTAACCGTTTGATAAAATTTAACATTTGAGATGCGTAAACGTCTCATATTAATCTGTGATTAGAGGTGTCTTTAGAAAATAAAGATATTTTATTAAATGTTGTTTTTAAGCTTTGTTTAATAAGTTGTAAGCAAACGGTTCTAAGGATTAATCTGTTATGCTTAGATTAGACCAAATAATTGAGTATTTTGAAACATTTGGAAGAGCAAGAGACAAAGAGTGGGTACGTAAATCTTAAGGAAAGAGCGAAATTGGTATCTGTTCTGTTTATACCAATAAACTTAAATTAGGACTTTTTAACGGGAAGAAGCGAGGAGTGAAGTGTTTTATTTTGTCTATTTAGTGTTTCTTTAGGTTTAAATGAGTAATAACGGTGGTTTATTAACTGTTGAGTGCAGTGAAAGTGTGCAAATGTGGGAAAATAAAACAAAGCCGCTTAACGTAACAAAAAGTCCACTGAAAAAGTCTCAGTAAATGATCACTATTTTGGATGACTGAGATTATATTTCATCTCATTTCATTTTATAATATCAACTTTCATATAAAAAGAAATTCATTGAAATTTAAATTAGACTTGACCTGAAGGATTTAGTTACCAGGTCATAAAATCTCTTTTAAAAAAAGACTAATAACATTTGTTTTTATTTATAGGTATGGTACAATATTTTTAAATTTTATACGATTCTATCATAAAGCACTTAAGTAAAAGTTTTACTGCCTGTAAAGATAGTGTAGGTACACCTACAATCAATGAAATCAATTAAAATTTTAATTACCTACGTACAATGACTACATTATGGAAATAAATAATGCGTATCAGAAAACGAAGCTTAAAAAGGAGAATATGCGCAGTTCAAAAAACTGCTATTGCAAATGGTTTGAATAATTTTGAAATGAAACAATTTGATTTAATTTGCGACTATAATCACNGTAAAGATAGTGTAGGTACACCTACAATCAATGAAATCAATTAAAATTTTAATTACCTACGTACAATGACTACATTATGGAAATAAATAATGCGTATCAGAAAACGAAGCTTAAAAAGGAGAATATGCGCAGTTCAAAAAACTGCTATTGCAAATGGTTTGAATAATTTTGAAATGAAACAATTTGATTTAATTTGCGACTATAATCACAATGATAAAACTGAGAAGTTCGACAAAAGGCTGATTTTTGTATTATTAATACTATTTTTATTGCCGTGGATATTGTTTGTACTGAATAATTTTATGAGTGCAAGATGTTTAGTACCAAGTAATTATTTAATCTGGGAGGCAACTCGACCATTAGCAAATTGTGCCTATTGTGAAAATGTAACTAAACCCATAGTGCTATTTAATGTAACTCGACATGAATTTAATGTAAGTAAAATAAACTTCAAATTTCAATAAAGTACCACAGTAATATTGTGCACTCTAAAGTAATTATTTTCAATGCCTTTTAGAAGTATGCATATTCAACCGGACCAATCATAGTTAAAAATGCCATAAAAAGCTGGAGAGCAACCAAAGAATTTAATTATAAGATGTTTAAAAGACTGTATGAAGAGACTGGAGGTAGCTATGAGAGCTTGGATGACGGATGTCAATTCTTGAATTTTAAAACTGACTTGTTTAGCTTAAAGGAAGTTTTCAATATGCCTGAAGAAAGAGTGAAAAATGAACCAGGACAAAAACCTTGGTATGTTGGATGGTAAGTACTTTTGATTACCATTGAGGGTGTGATGACAATGCCCTTAAGGCCACCTGATCATAAATGTTTAAAGCTGTTCATGCACTACAACAATATTAAGCTAACCAATGAACAAGTCATTGAACTCACAAAATAATGAAAGTCCATTGTAGTCTGGTGAAAATGTTTTACTGGAGACGATATATGTTTTGCATGTATAATCATGTTTGCTTGCTTCATAAAGGCATTCTTAAATGTAATTATTGTAGGGGTAACTGTCATCCAGAAATACTATCAAAGGTCAGACAGTATTACAATGTACCAGATTTCTTACCAAGTGATGCGGAATTTTCTGGTACTGAAAATATATTTTTCGGTTATGAAATTGGAGCAGTTATGCATGTAAGTATAATTTCTATTTAATTATGTAATACGGATTTCATGTTGAAAACAAATGGAACATCATAATAACAAAAGTCAAAAGCATGTTAGAAAATATTCCATTATTAAATTAATCATGTTTAATAAATAGCCTTTCAAATAAAAAATTTTCAACATCAGTGTAATATACCATTTTGTTCCTTTTCTTAAAAGCGATTGATTTAATGTTTAACTTTTGTTGTTTGTTTTAGTTGGATTACATATCAAGATTGATGTGGCAGGGTCAAGTAAGTGGTAACAAAATATGGTCTATTGCACCAGTACCAGAGTGTGATCATGTCTGTAATGGTTTGGAGTTTTATGTAGAAAAAGGTGACATAGGTCTGTATTAAATTTGCTTAATTACTTTTGACTTTATTATTTGGTTACCATTCTGTTTGATATACTGA